TGCCTCGGCTGTCTGCTTGGTTTTTACAGTGACACCACTCTTCAGGCCAGAGTGACCTGTGCTCCGACGTGCCGCGGACTCGAGGTTTGGTTTTGTGTTGGGAGGCAGCAGGTCGACGGACCACCTGTGACAAGAGCTCAAGTGGCAGGACGGAGGTTGGAGTGACRTGTGACGTCCACACAGGGAGGAGCAGCCTGGGGACTGGAAGTGCACCCTGCRTGGTGGACAGTCTACACCTGGGTCATCTAGAGATTCTTCAGTCACCTCAGGCTCCTGTGCCCKGCACTGGGTACACCACCCCCCTCTCCCTCCTCCTGGCCGGGTGCTGAGGATGGACCAGGTGGGCTCCTGGGCTGTGGTCATGTGCATTGATTTTGGCCCCGTCGGCCACCGTCCCTGGGCAGTCCTGGGGAGCCTGGATGACCTCTGACCTAGCCCTTCATTCTGGAGAAAGGTGAGAYGTCCCTGACCCTGCCGACGTCAGGGACAGGAGACGCCTGTCTGGCGGCCTCTGGGATCTCCGCAGAGAGTGGCCTGGGTGGTTCCCTCCAGTCTCCTGCTTTCAGTCTGCGCCATTTTCTGCATCTGCCCTGAGTAAAGCCACGGCTTGAGCATGGYTTTCACAACCAGGTTCTGGAACCCCAGGATCCCAAGAGGGACGTCAACTGCTGCCCTGAGGCTGAGTTCTCTGGGATGGGGTGGGGCAGGATTCCCTTTCCTGCTAATGCCAGAGCCCCTCAGCTACCGTCAGCTTCATGTGCTTTGAGCTTTGTTTAATATTTTTTTGGAAAAGGGTTCTGCCATAAAAGAAAACTAGAATAGTGATAAAGGTCAGAGCACCGAACTCGGGCCCTTGTGGTGTACTGTTCCTTTAAATCTGGACATCTCTCGGGGCCTGGAAATGAAGAGGTTCCTTCTTTGCCCTACCCCTTCTCAAGATGGGGGTTAGGTGAAAGGATGCTTTGGGGGTTCAGGAGAAGTGCAAGTGAAGACCTGAAGAGGCGGAGTGAGAGGCCCCTCCCATACACACACACACACACACACACACACACACACACACACACACACACACTTTGGGAGCTGCTTTTCCAAGAAAAGTGCAGGGCCCAGTGGTGAGGGAGCGCCCCCCTGAGGGCGCCTCAGGCCACTGCAGGAAGAGGCGGCTGCTGGCCTGGGGAGGTGCAGCCAGGAGCTTCCCACTGGGGTTACTGGAAGGCCCCCAAGAAGATGAGCCCCTGTCCCAGAAAGCAGCCCAGTCTACCGGGGGGGCCAGAGTGCACCCCTCTGTGGCCCACTCTGGCAGGGGGTGCTTACCATTTGGGTGGACTTTGAGAAAGCCCAAAAGTGACTCAGAAAAGTGGGTGATTTCCCTCCCTTGGTGGCTGAGAAAGCAAGGCTCAGGAGGGCGAAAGGACCTCCTTCCATTTCAGAGCAGGGAGACAGCGTCGCTGTGGACAGAACCCAGGAGGGCTTAGTGGGAGAACACTTAATGTTTGCAAGCAACCCAGGGTCTGAGGGCCGAACAGGACGGCAGGAGCTCAGGGAAACGCCGGAAAAGTGGGGTTTGACAGGCTGCCCTGGCCTGCCCTGCCCTGCCCTGGCCTGCCCTGCCCTGCCCTGGCCTGCCCTGGCCTGCCCTGCCCTGGCCTGCCCTGCCCTGCCCGGACTATTTTTGTGTGTGTGTGTGTGTGTGTGTGTGTGTGTGGTCATTGTTTCGTTTTGTTTTTGATACTAGGGATCGAACCCAGGAGCACTTAACCACTGAGCCACATCCCCAACTTTAAAAAAAAAAATTTTTATTCCCTTTAAAAAGCATTTTTTTAGGGACAGAGTCACTGAGTTGCTTAAGTTGAGGCTGTCCTCAAACTTGTGGTMCTCCTGCCTCAGCCTCTGGAATCCCTGGGRTTACAGGCGTGTGCCTTTGTCCTCAGCTCCCCGTCTGCGTCTTAACCTCCGTCTCTCTAACTGAAATTCCCAAGAGTCAAGTGAACACAATTTTCTATCCCCAGTAGAATTTCCCATTAGAGGATGTAAAATCCCAGATCCCTGTAATTATTTTAACAACAAAAATAAGGCCTCCTCCTTGCTCTTGCTTGGCCTCCCCCTTTCCCACCTTTTTGCTCTTGACCATCTCTTCTTTTCCGGAGGCAGGGGAGGAGCAGGAACTAGCAGAGACTTGTTGGGGAGCTGGTCTGCGGCCGAGGGCTTTCCCCGTGACCCCAGCTCCTTGCCTCCCTCCTTTGTGCTACCCGGAGCCACTAAGGTTTCCTTTTTTGTTTTTTTGAGGCGTGGGGGATGACGATGGGACCCAGGGGCTCCTGACCACGGAGCCACATCCGTAGCCGTCTGGTGTCTCTTTTTTATAAAGGGTCTCACTGAGTTGCTTAGGGCCGTGCTCAGTTGCTGAGGCTGGCTTTGAGCTGGAGATCCTCCTGCGCCACTGGGATCACAGGTGTGTGCCACTGTGCCCGGCTTGTTGTGCTTTGCATTTCAAGTGCATGTCAAGGGGTTCACTGACTCCTCAGAGGGGTCACTGGTGCTTAGAATTCAGTGGGAGCTGCCTCACATCTACTCCCACCCCTGGGGTCCTGGCATGGCCGCTTCCTGGGCCTGGGTTCAGTGGGCCTGGCATCCCTTTAGATGAACACACCGGAGTAACCCAAGGGATTGGGTGGCTGCTGAGGGTCCGATTCTATTCCAATCACGTATTAAGTGTGAAGAATGTAAGTATGGGGTACATCCAGCACCATCCCTCTCCCGTCTGCCTGCCCTCACGTCCCTCAGTGGACAAGGCCTGTGTGTGCCCAGCATTGACTGGATTCCCATTTTGCCTTTACTTCCAGCTCACCTCCCGAAACGAGTAGGAATTCCTTGGTCACAGTTCCCCAAGTTGGCGTGAACGTTTTAACGGAACACAGGGAGCTCCCACCAGGTCAGAACCTGAGGAAGCCTGCGTACCTTTTCCCGTCTCTTCCTTTCACGATAGGAGCCGCCCTAACAGATTCTGGAGGATGAAAGGGCCCAAGGCCTCGTTTTCCAGATGTTCCATATACAATCAGATAAAAAATATTGAGCTAGTGAGCTACCATCTTGGCGAGTAAACACTGACCTGTTTCACGCTTTGGGGCGATGGACACTTCTGTTTACACCACCCCACCCCTCCCTGCCCTCTAACACTGACCCAGTGTGATTGAGAAACCGAGTCCGMGGGCTCTGGGCCATACAAGCCCTGTTCAGGACACACGCGTGTACATTCAAGAAGAGTGTTTTGTTTCTCCTGCCTTCCTACTAGAGAAGAAAGTCTTTTTTTCTATGATATGGCCTTTTTAAGGTCATAAAAGGAATATTAGGTTTGCCAAGAAAAAGGGAAGATTCTCATAGGGCTGGTGTCTCACGATCCACAGTAGCTGGGCACATCTACTTGATGTCAAGTGAACATGAACCCATTATGTCTTTCTTTCTTTTTTTTTTTTTTTAAGAGAGATTGAGAGAGAATTTTTAATATTTATTTTTTAGTTCTCGGCAGACACAACATCTTTGTTGGTATGTGGTGCTGAGGATTGAACCCGGGCCGTACGCATGCCAGGCGAGCGCGCTACCGCTTGAGCCACATCCCCAGCCCCCCATTATGTCTTTAAATAAGTTTATTAGAGCCAAACTATTTAAATAATTTTATTTGTTTCATCCTTTGGTAGATGAGAAAAATACATTACAAAATACATTATACAGAGGACAGCTCACAGTACACATTACTAAAAACACAATCTACATTCCAGCCAGGGCTGGTAATAAATTCAGAAGAAAGCCACGGAGGCCTTGAAAACCAGATTTCAGCTCTATGGAATGAATTTTCCCCTTAGGTCCCCTCTTTATCTCAACCTCAGCATGTATTAGCACCCCTAATCAGGTGGGTGTGGGCAGAGTTGGAGCAGCATTGAATGGGATTGGTGAACTCTCCATTCACCTAAAGCAGCAAGACATTAGAATCCCTGGGGATGGGGGGGGAGGGGAGAAGGGCCAAGTTAAAATTGCTGTCTTAAAGCATGGCAGGACTCCTCGGGCCTCCTACAAGTTCCCAGGCAGCCGTCCCAGATCTGGGTTTCCCAAGACTTGGGTCTTTCTTAGCTTGTTTCTGGCCTCTGTTGTTTCAATCTTGACCCACTCTGCCCCAAAGCAAGCTTCCTGACAGGGAGACACGGGCAGCACCCGCCATATGCAAGGTCATGTCCAAACTTTTACAACAGCAGTACATACAGCACAGCACCACCTGCTCCAGCCCCGCAGACTCCCCCCACTTTCCTCCTGGCCCAGCAGTTGCTCACGCCTGGGGTAAGGACACAGGTCATGGAACAACCCACCTCAGAGCTAACCATTTCTAGTAGGACCAGCATCTTACAAGAAGGACTTGAAGGGGTCCACAATTCTCCAAGTCAGCCAAACTTATTTCAAGAGCCATCTCTCTTCTACACCCCCAAACAAAGCAGGAGACAGGAGGAACGTGAGCAGAGCTTACCACTGATCACAATCCAGGGCCAGTCAGAAGCCACTTTCTGGGAGGGAGAGGAGCCAAAGCACACTGCAGAGTGGTAGCTGGACAGCGAATGGCTGTGATCAGAAAAGACCACGTACACACGCAGGAGCCTGCGCCCCAGCCCCCTCAGTTCTCATAAAAGGATTCCTATGAAGCAGCCTCTTGAGCCTCCACATTTTCTGTTTCTTAGAAATTTGAAAAGTCTCTGAAACTAGAAGTGAAAAGCAGTCCTAAGAATCAAGTTCATCACACCAGCCTGCTACACTGAAAGTCAGCAGAGGCCTTCGGGAAACCTAGGGGTGGGCCAGGTGGGTGCTTCAGCTCCAGATTTCTTGGGTTAGCGGAGCACAGCCTCATGGCTACCAAAGCACAGTGGACCTGGCACCCCTCCCCCACCTCCCAAGCAGTCAGGGAATGGGGGTGGGGTGGGATGTGGGAATAAAAATAAAGATGAGTCAAGACCAGCATCTTCAAATTAACAAACTGTAATTGTTTTCCCAAAGATACATTTTTTTTCATACACATCCATCATACACTGTAACCAAAAAAAGCAGTGTACATGAAATAAGAGAAAATAAATTAAAAATCCATAGCATAGGTAAGGAGGCTCTAGTCTGGAGCACAGCTGAGTTTCCAGCAGTATAAGGAGGCTCGAGAGTTTCTTTATAAGAATGCCTGCTAGCAAGGGTTCCAGCAAGGTGGTTGTTGGTCTGTAGTCAGTCTGGAGTACTTGGAACAGTTCTGTTTGTTTTTTTGTTTTTTTCCTTAGCGTTTAGAATAGCCATCATTGTCCTGCAATAGGCAGAGCTATCAGGTCCAGGAAAAATGAGGGAGGGAACCACAGAGGCAGCGTGAGATCCAAATACAGCATTCAAAGGTATTGGTCCAGTGGTGCCTGGGGGAGGAGGAGGGGAGACGCTCCAGGGTTAGCCATCTTCCTTTGGGGGTGTGTACCAGCCTGCAAAGAAACACACCAGGTCAGCGAGGTCCAGGCCGGGTGCGCCCTCCCTGTCCCCGTCACCGTGGACATCTGCAGCGTCTCCAGGCAAGAAGGTCCTAGGGAGGCTGCCAGGTGCGAGAAGAGAGGTGCAGGGAAGCGGAGGCTGCCTACCTGGAGGTTGTAAGGAAAGGGAGAGTGAAGAGCCCAACCTGAGTGGTGAAGAGTCTTTCAAAGGGTGGTCAGGAAGAGGGCAGCACCAAGACTGCCCACGACACCACCTCCAGGCCTTCTCTGGAGAGCGGGCAGGTGTGGGTGAGTGGGTGGTAAGGCTCGGAAACCCAGAGGGACCTGGCTAAGGGCCGAGTGAGAACCTGGGGTTGCCCAGCATCAGAGCTCCGGGCCCGGCTCTGGCCTCACCGTTTTTTTCGTGGATCTGCACCAAGGACTTGTAGGACTGCTGTGCTCTCGTCAGACTGTACTGAGACTGGGGAGAGAAGCCACCCGATCAGACCACGCCAGCTGTGGCTCACTGCCCCTCCCCTTCCACAGGCGGCCATCCGAGGCCCAAGAAGCCCGGCTGCCAGCGCGGTACCCTGGTAGCATGCTAAGGACCTCTGCCTGAGAGGTCCCTTGGGGACACAATCCCACAGCCTTCCCTTTCCTGACCTGAATCCCCAAACCCTGAGGACACCCCTCAGCTAAGGCCCTGCTCTGTTCCCACTGTGGCCACCCCAGGCCCTCTCCTCCAACATCGCAGCCCAGGGACTGTGTCCCTGTGCCCTCAGCCTTGGCCACGATGCACTCGGCCCAGCCAGCCTGCAGCCCAGGCCCCTTACTTTGTTGGCTCCAAACTGCACTCGCGCTTTCCCCTTCACCAGTGTGGCACTGATCTGCATGATCACTGACTCTATGGAGTAGGCACTGCTCCAGCCCTGGGGACAGGAGGGACAAAGCGAGCGAGTCAGGACAGGGCTCCTGGAGACACCTTCCACTTCTTCTCCAGGCGGCAGTGCCTCTCTACAGAAGTGCCCGTGCCCTTCCCTCCCAGGACAGCCACTACCTGGCAGGGTAACAGGGCCACAGACGCCTGAGCCCAGGCCGGGATGGGGAGGAAGCTCAGCTGTGGGGCCCCACCCAGGCTCTTGGGCCAACAGTGAAAGGGCCTCACCTGCTTGGTGAGAAGTTCCATGCAGATGGCACCTCCGCCCAGAACATACCTGCATGACAAAGGTCGGTCAGTCAGGCCTGGCAAGAGCTTCCAGTCCCTGCTTCACCCTCTCCCTGACCCAGCCACTCACCCTCCAGAGAGGACTGGAGACACAACCCTGACGAACGGTGGGTCAAAGGGAAAGTTATCCTGAGAAAGACAGAGGCAGCGTTCAGGGAAGGAGACCGGCATCCCCACAAGACCTAAGCAGACAGCAACTCAGGCCAGGGGAGGAGAGCTGGGGGAAGGCTTACCTTAAAGGAGAAATTAAGTAGGATGAAATCAGCTCCTTCCTTCTCTTTGAGGATTTGGAGATCWTTGTGCAAAGCGCTGTCCTGGTCAACTCTGTGAAACAAGTCTGGGCTCAAACCCTTGTCCCAGTGCAGAGCCTCACAAGGGCTCCCCACCAACCCCCTCCTCCCCTGCGCCCCGGCCGGCCCCAGATACATATACCACTGCCCACACCCACTTCTGGGGACCCTGCAACCCACATGCTGGTGGGACTGCCCGGACATCACCAGGTGTTCCACCCACCCGGCTCCCGACTCCCCAGTCCCCACTCACTTGAGGAGTTTGACATTCCAATCGTATAGACTGTCATTCACGAGTTCAACTGCATAGTTTCCTAGAAAATGGGAAGGGAAGTGTCAGTAGGACAGTACAGGTGGGGAGGGGTCCCTCAGACTGCTCCCTTTCACAAACCGAGGGAAAAAGATCAAAGGTCCGGGTCTGCTCCAGATGAATGCACACCCAAGCCAAGCCACTGGCTTTAAGGTGCTCCGTTCCTGACCGCAAGTTTGTCAACACTCATGTACCCCAGAACCTTGGGGCTTTGTGCACCACATCATATCATATCCCATATCCACCCGAGGAGAAACTCCCGTGCAAGCCCCTCTCTGGAGCAAACTCACCGCCTTTGAAACTCTGTGAYCGGTATATATCCCTGAGCTCCTTCATCAGCCGGTCAGTGGCCTGCACCGAGCCAGACACTGCACCCTGTGAGGGAGAAACAACAGGATATTCTCTGGTCCCACAGTCTGGAAACACACGTTACGCCTCCACTGCTTGCCCAGGGCTTGGAGGATGATTAGATGCGAGCAGCTCCCTGTGCTGTGAGCTGCGGCCTACCACTCCCCAGGTAGTGCCCACCTCCCTCGTGCCCCGCCGCTCCCTACAAGGCACGTACATTTAAGTAATCTTGCCTCTGGTTCTTTTTGRTCTTCTCTAGGATGGCCAGGTTTTCTTTTCCAATGCCATCGTCTTCGGATTTCTTGCCCTCAGCTGGCTCTTCCTCTTTCATTTCATAGTGATCTAGGTCTTCCGTGTCCTGGGCAGAGTGGGAAGGAGGGGAACAGAGGGGAAAGGGAGAAGGCTGTGGATGAGGACCGTCACCTTCCCAGTCCCACCTGGCATGGAGCTCCAGGAGAAGCAGTCGTCTAGCAGTCCCACCACTCAGCACCCCCCTCGCTTCTGGAACAGTTCCCAGCCCTATCCCTCCACCCTGTGAAGGACAGGCACTTCTCTYCAGTTCTACAGTCGCAGAGCTAAGGTAAGGACCTAGGAAGACTTGGCTTTTGCTCCCCAGGACAACCCTGCTTGACCTGCCCCTAAAACTCCCCCCTGGAGGCAGAATCTCTTTCCCAATTCCTAGCAGAATGACTTTGGCCCGACACTGTCACTGAAAGCTCATGTTTCATCAGGTGAACTGATGTACCCAGGAGTCCTCAGGGCCTCCGGTCCAGAGGAGAATCTGGGATTTTATCTCCTCCTCCCCCTACAAATGTAGGGCTTGAGTCAGATTTGCAGAGGCACCTACTAACAAGATGGAAATGAGAAAGGGGGTCCAGAGAGGAAGGCGGCTGAAGTCAAGAACAGAGTCAGCTCTTTATTCAACCTATTCTAAGCGAACAAGTAGTTCACTATTCACAGAGGGAGGAGGCCAGGAGTTAGCCTTTCAGTCAAGTGTTCAGGGTGTAGTACACAGGGCTGTCCACTGTCTGGGAAGAGTAAATTTCATGTGTCACTAGCTGTCTGTCAGTCTTAAGACCCTTACAGACTTACAGAACTTGGGACATTAATCCAACACTCTAAASAAAGTGATCAGTGTCTTACCTGGCAGGACATACTGACCTCCTGATTATTACAGTACCAGCTAACATCCACTTAATGTTTATTACACACCAGATCATTTCATCCTCACAACCATTATTGAATGTTATTCAACACTGTCTCCATTTTACAAATGAGGAAGCTTAAGTCTAGTAAGATATTAATTCTCATGCCCAAAGTCATAGAACTCTTGGCAGAGCTAAGCATTAGATCAAGTTCTATCTGGATCTGAAACTCTTAACCATTCTTAACCATTACGCTGTATTCTGCAAAAGCATCCATGTTTTTAAAGAATATATTAGGTAAGTTACTTAGTACTCACCATATACTTTATATGCAATATTTTACTTAATCTTAAGACAACCATATGCAGCATGTATTATAATCCCATCTAGCTTGGTGAGATTAGGTGTACCTCCCTAGTTAGGATAGCCAGGATGCAAACTCGGTCTGAAATTAACCTGAGTATTTATTTGCACCTGACTGCCTTCAGAGGAGGGATATGGTGCCTGTTTCCTCTACTACACTGATCATTCCTCCTCGTCGGTACATTGTTTCTCTCTCCCTAGTTCTAGACTGGAGCTCTGTTTATGGTGAGTGATGAGTGCTGCTGACTGCAACAGCTTCCTGCCAACACCACCTCAGGTCGCAAGCCTACCTCAGGCATCTCCTCGTCTTCATCTTCTGAAGATACTTCTTCCTGTGTGCACTGCAGTGGGGAGGGGAGGGAGATGAGATCAGAGCCCCAGTGACTGTGGAGTGCAGCCTCTGACCTACTCCCCTAAGCCTCCCGGTCTGGAAGCTATACACTCGCCCGTCTCTCCAACAGCCAGAGTCAGTGGAAGCAAGAGCCGGGATGACTTCCCTATCAGCCCATCATTTTCCTCCTACCATATGCCAAGGAATAAAAAAAGAAAAATGGCTCTTCTTGTCACCCACCTTGCAAACCCCACTTAATTTTCCTAAGAACCCTTCTTTTACTTGATCTTTTCTAGACTGATACTGCATTCTTGGCTCGAAAGAAAGGGCCTGGGTCCCCAGTGGCCACCAACTGCTACTTCTAAGGTAATGGTAAAATTCCCACTCCTTCTCAACCTCAGGGATGGCAACAGATGCCGGAGAGGGGGGTTCGATAGGAGAGATGAAGCTACTAGTGTTCCACTCAGCTGGAGAAAAAAGAGGCTGAAAGTCACATGTGTGTCTATTTGGGAGTGGGTGGGGATGGGGAGAGGCTACTGGGGACAGGCTACTGCAGATCCGTCTCAGTTAACTCGTACTTATTGAGTGCTCTCTGTGGCACAACTCTGTACAACAGCCTAAAGCCCTTTAGCTGCTCACCTGTTCTGCTGGCAAGGGCTGATCCAGCACCTCCACCTCAGGATGCTGAGGGAGGGAGGTGGCAGAGTTTACACGGGTCGGAGATGATCCTCTTCAGATGCTGCAAGAGCTGGGTTGGGGACCACAGAGATATCAAACACTTCTATCCCACTCTAATATGGACAGCTGCACTGATAAACTTGTAGCTCGCATCCCAAACCGGCACCTAGTTCTCTAAACCCGATGGACCACAGGCTGTGGGAATGGCTCCTGGTCCACCAATCCTGCAGAGGATGGCCTCTACTGGGATTCACCTCTGGCTTCAGACAACTCTCCTAGGAAGTCTGCCCCACCATGTTTGGCCACTTTTCATATACAGCACCCTTTCGCCGGGGACTTTATGACACAGGCCTCACAGATATATGTGTGCTCCTACCCCATGGCCCCCTCACCAGAGTATTCCCTTTCTTTATGTCCACCAGCCTCCCCAAGACAGCAGCCAAGTGAGGGTCATCAGATTCCACCGACCAGATGGGGGGCACAGCAGGGTATGACTCCTAAGGGGAAAGAGTAGGAAGAGCAGTCACAATGGGCAACTCTGGGAGGTGCCAGACTTTGCCTGCACTCTGACCCTCAAGATTCTGGTCCCTTGGCTTGTCCACCTCAAGCCCTACACAGTAATAAAAGCCAGCTCAGCAGATCAGTATCTAACCAAGCAGCTTCCCAACCAAGCCAAGACTGGGAGAAAACAGTCCCTCAGAAGACTTTTCAAAGAAGCAACCTGGAACTTTTTCTTTCTGCCACAGCAAAAACCAGAGAAAGCAGGACAGCCACACTGCTAACAGTGAGGGGCTCCTGATCTTCTGTCCTGCCTCTCCAAGTTCCAGACTTGGAGTTCTCCCACACCCAAGTCAGAGTCCTCCCAAATCCTTCTGCTTTCCAAACTCCAGCAAAGGGAGGAGGGATCAGCCTCATCACAATCACACTGCTGTGAAAAACGCAAGACTACAGCTCACCAGGGAGGGAGGGACAAAAATAAAACTATATATTCAGAAGCTGAAAGAATATCGGCAAGAATCTCCCCTCCCCATTCCCAAGAGAACCCCTCAAAGACCAGTTCTCCCCACCTCTCCCTTGGGAACCTGCCACCTTCTCTGTCCAGGCGTGGGCTGTGGGACTCCACATGGCAGGCTGGGAGAAAGAGGCCTACGCTGCTGACATTCCCAGCATTCCTGAGCCACGTTGCCAAACGCCTGACCAGACTCCCCTCTACCCAAACCAAAACCAAAAGGGCTAGTTCAGGCCAAGTCTCCTTTATAGGGACCACAGGGAGTCTAGCTGAGGAACCCCTAAATTAACTCCCAACCAAGGACAAAGATAGGAGATGGCCTCTAGCGAGTAAAAGGGTAGGTAGATGGGGCCAAACCTACCCGTTGAGGAGCCAGAAGCTTAACTTCACAACAAAATTAAACCTGGAGGCTTCCGCATGCCCAGGAAACCTTACCCACTCCTGGGATCTCAGCTCTGCCACAGCTCTAACCCTCAGTGCTGGAGGGGGAAAAATACACACCAAAGACACTCAGGTCTTCACCTGACTAAGCCACTTCTAGTCTTTCAATGGTAACTTTTGGGGGGAGGATGGGAAAAGAGAGAAATAGGACACATGAGTTTTGGTGGGGCACCATCCAACCCAAGCTGAGGCTTACCTCACCAAACCTTGACCTGGTTTGACTGAGGAAAAGGAAAGAACACACCGTGTCAACTGGATTCAGGCCCCCAAGCACCACAGAATTCACAAGTCTGTCTTTCCCCAGGCTACTCCTATTCAGACTGCCTGCCTGGATACAGCACTGTCCACCAGCTCCCCAGCTACTGCTTCAGCAGGGGGAAGACCACAACAGGGAATTCCAACCAGTGGAAGTGCTACCGCAGGTGGGACCACACATTACTACAAGTTATCAGAAAGCTAACCTCCTCAAGGAATGTTTGAGGGCAGAATAAGGCAGGACACATGCAAGGCGTCTCCCAGCCTAGTATACTTAGAATGAAACAATGCCCACTGGGGAGAATAGAACAGTGTGCTCAGAATAAATGGGGTACCTTATGCACATCACAATACCGTCACTACCAAGAAAGGAACAGACCTAAGGCAAATGGACATATCCACAGGGAACAGGGAGAGTGGAAGATCTGCTACCAGCTGAGGCAAAAGGGGAGTGTTAGAGGTTACACCAAAATAAAAGGGTACTCCAAGGAGTAAAGGAAGAGGAATCAATGTACTGCAAACTATCACTTGGTGAAATTCAGAGAGCAAAGAGGGTCTTCAAGAGGGATGCCTGGACAGGGATCCCACAGGTGGCAAACATCCTGAGTCAAAGGAACTACTGAGAGGGGTCATCACTGACATGTGCAGAGTTCCAAGCGAGGTCTTTCCAGCTGGGGTCAGTGCAGAGGCCTGGAACCTAGTAATCAGAATGGGGAGGGGGGAAGGGGCATTCCCAGGTGAAAGGTAAAGTTGTAGAGGAGTAGCCAAAAGGAGCCCAAATCTTGAACCTTGGGATGTGGGTGGGTTCGTGGAAGGGGGGAGTCCAGGCGCCATATGTCGAGGTGTCCCTTGCTATCAGGGATCATTAGTGGAGGTTTGAGTGCCTAGAAGAACCTCAAGCTGCAGAAACAAGTGTAAACTAGGGAGGACGGAGACTCAAGAAGGGGCTTTGGCCTCCCAGGTCCTTCGAGAGCAAAAAGCTGTGTGGGGTGGTCCTGAGTCCTGACCAGGGGCCCCCAAGAGGYGCACGCGAGAGGGTCCTCACCGTGATGTTGCAGTGGATGCGGACGGGATCCCCGGGCACCGACCCCCGTGGGGGCAGATGCGGTCCGGGCGCGGCCCCCGCCCCGGCCCCTCCGGCCCCAGCCAGCAGGAACTCGCAGCTCAGCTCGTCCAGGCAGGCGCTGGCAATGCGGAAGCGCTCGTGGCCGCGGTGGAAGATGGACTCCAGCAGCTTCAGCTCCCGCCTCAGGCAGGGCCCCGGCCCCGGGCCCCCCCCTGGGCCGCCCCCGGCCCCCGGCGCCGCCCCCTGGCCCCCCAGCTGCTGCCCCGGCCCCGGCTGCTGCTGCCCCTGCGGCTGCGGCTGCTGCATCCTCCGCTCCGCTCCGCTCCGGGGCCGGCGGGCCGGGAGCCTCCGGCCTCCGCTCCGGGCTCCGCCGCCGCCGCCGCCGCGGTCCGCACTTCCTGATCCCCCCTTCGCCAAGATGGCGCCGCCGCCACCTCCGGGACAGGGCCCCCCCCTCCGCTCGCTGGCCCCCCCGGCCGCCGGAAGCCGCGCGCCCCTCCTCCTCCTCTTCCTCGGCGGCCCCGCCTCCGTCCCCCTCACGTGACCTCCCCGCTCTGGCCCTCCGCACGTGATCCCTCCGTCTTTCCCGCCCCCTGGTTCTCTCCTGTCACCCTCCACATGTGACCCTGGGCTGCGGGCTCGCCTCTTTGAGCGCTCCGGTGCGTGTTTACGTACGTCGTGCGTGCATGCGCGCGACGGCCCTGCGCCGGCGCTCCCTTCTCACGTGACCCGGCGCCGCGTGCTCCCAGGGGCTCCCCGCGCGGGACCCTGTTTCCTGCTCGGGGTCYTGTTTCCCCGCCCCCGAGCGGCGGCGAGCCTGCGGGGCGCTCCGTGGGCTGAGAAGAAAGGAGCGCCGTCTCCGCCGCCCGGCGCTGGGCTGCCCCGCGCTGGCCCCCCGCCGGCGTCCCCAACTTCTGGCCCCGGGGGCGGGCGTGCTGCGTGCACACTCACCGGGGGCGTGGGGTCGGGGAGGAGCTGGGGACGGCGCGCAGGGGGCTCGGATTCCCGTCCGGCCCCTGCCCGTGACTCGTGGGGTGACCTTGGGTTAAGCACGGTCCTGCTGAGCTGGCTTCCCCGTCCACACAGTAACTCCGAGGAAGAGGATGGACGCTGCTTTGGCTTCTTACTGTCAAGGATTCAGGGCGAGGAGCCCTGAAGTGGGAAGCGATAGGCTCCTGGTGGGTTGTGTTTGAGGGGTAGGCAGCAGCTGCCCCTTGGCGCTTTTCAGATCCCTAAGTGTGGACGAGGTTGGGAGAGGGACTGCATGGACTTCCTCCACGGAATTATTGAAGGAGTGCATGGCTGGTCCAAACCCTTAGCCTGTAAGTAGAACGGAAAGAGGCAGACTGAGGCAGACCCATCCCCAGCCCTAAGCCTAAATAGCTCACACCTTGTCGCAGTCAGTGGTCCTGGCAGCTGCCGGGAATAAGTGGCAGCGCCTCCAAGCTCTCGCTAGGTGGCACTGTCACAAAGGACAAAGCTGGCTGAGGTTCCAGAAATGAAGAGATGGTAGTTCTGCCAAGGGCAGGTGTCAGCTTGTGGTAGGGCCTGGTGAATGCTGCTGGGCCAACTCGGCGCTTGAGCCACTGAGCGTATCACCACCTTTCTTTTTCATTTTGGGCTAAAATGCTCTTTTTAGAAGCTAATGGTGTAACTTGGTGATCTGTACTGGTCTATTACTCATTTAATAGCGTTTGCAGAAGACCTTCATTGGCCAAGTTCAGCTTTGGATATTTAGAAATTGTATGTTCCCGGCCTTCCTGGGGGTGGAGTGTTTATCTTCTTTGGGAATCCTGAACAGTTAGCTGCATATCACTTTCATGTCTGGGTACCAGCAGGTAGCATAAGAATCTGTGATAAAATTTCCCATTTATTGAGCACTCCCTGAACCAGGGTATTTTTGTAAATATTTCTAAACCTCCCTACTATATTTTGCAAGGCAAACATTTTTATCCGTGTTGTACCAGTGAGGGAGAAAGAGCTGCCCAGGGTATACAGCCAGGAAGCAGAATTCTTAGCTCTGTCTCCAAAGTCCCTGCCCTTCTACCTCACTCTTGCTTTCCACAAGAGCTTTTCACGTGTCACTTGATGCTAACCTTCCCCAAGAAACACACCCATGTAGCCATTTAGAAGATCCTGTATTCTAAGGGGTTTAATTAGAAAACAAACATGAGAATACCACAATGTTGCACAGACCTCCAAGTCCCTCGGTAAGGAAACAAAACATGGTCACTGGGATGAGGTTTGCTGTCTCTTGTGGGTCTGTTCAGCACCTCAGCTCTCTGGCTGGGAGAGCCCTCTGGCATCTAGAAACCTCATGTTGTGGAGTCATCTGAAATGACCCAACATCAGCACGGTGTCTAGCTGAAATGTAGAGTGCGGAAATGGAAAGGAAATGATGGATGGGCTCATTTAATAAATATATGAGTGCTAGGGAAACAGCAGTTGACTAAAACAAAATCTCCAGCCCTCGTGGAGCTTACATTCTGTTCAGGGAAATAGATGTGATAAAGCCAATTGTCTTGCTAAATGCTGGAGAAGGTAAATAAGTCTTTACTGAGCGCCTACTATGTGAGAGGCACTGGAGATGCAGCATTGAATGAGAGGGACCCAGTCCTCCCATTCTCTTGTGTGCAGCTGTTAGAAAGTCAGACATTTCATGCATTGTTACATACTCAATCACTTAGCTGAGGTGTGGCAGGTGCCTCAAAGGAGAATAGTGTGGCTGGGGATGTGTTCCCGTGCTAAATTCTAAAGGACAAGTAGAATTACCAGCAGGGAGAGAAAGGGCTGACAGTGTTCCAGACAGAAAGAATGGAATATGCAAGGTTTTGAGGTAGGACCATGACGAAATGAAGAAGCAGAAAGAAATTCAACACCTAGAATAAGACAGTGATGCAGGTTAAGCAGGCATGGGCTAGACTTTGGCAGGTATTCAGAGCTATGTTTAAGAATTTGAGCTCACCCCCCCCCCCGCCCGCCCCAGCTACTGGGGTTTGAATACTGAGCTAAATCCCCAGCCCTTTTTATTCTTTATCTTGAGACATTGTCTTTCTGAGTTGCCCAAGCTGGCCCTGAACTTGTGATTCTCCTACTTCAGCCTCCTGAGCTGCTGAGATTACAGGTCTGTGCCACTGTGCCTGGCTAATTTGGGCTTATTTTAAGATCAAAGAAGATCAAAAGATCACTAGAGTTTTGAGAAAATCTGGAAACCTAGGCAACTAGTAGCAATAGCACTCTCAATGAGACCTCTTAAAGGAGAGCTGAGTTTTGTGGGAGAGTGGGAGTTGGTTTATGGACATACTAAGTGTATAAAGGGAAGGAGTGATGTGAACCATCCCCTTGGGATGTAGTAGGGTGTGGGTTCTGAGTTCAGAAGAGAGGGCAGAGCCATAAATGTTAATTTCAGAGACTGCTGCGGCCCTCTGAACCGCAGGGTGGGAAGAGAGATTAGGGAACAGACCAATTGGCCTTGGGTTTGAGCTTTTCTGCTTTGCAAACTATGTGACCTTGAGCAAGTTATTTAATTTCTGAAAACTTCAACTTCCTTATCTATAAGATGAGCATAATACTCTGCCTGACCATTGTGCCAGTTTAGATGAAATGAGGTATGTAAAATGATTAACAGTGATGGGAACTTAGTTCATTGCACGGCAAATGCTAAATCCTACTATTGCTATGATCACCAGTACTACTGAAAAGCCAAGAGGTGCTCATCATTCAGTAAACATTTTTGGGCTTTTTCCATGTGCCAGACATGAGTCTAGGTATTGTAATATAGCAGTAGACAAGATGGACACAATCCCTGCTCTTGTGGTACTTCCATTCTAGTGCAAGGATTATGGACTATCAGACTGTGCAAATAGATGTGAGGAATCAAAGTAGGGTCATGTGGGAGAGAGTGACTGGAGTCACTTTATAAGTTCAGCAGACGGGGAAGGTCTCCCTAGGGAGGTGGAGTTTGAGCTGAGATCTGAGAGGAAAGAAGCGAGACTGGGAGGGAATGGGAGGACCATTCCAAGCAGAGAGAGAACAAAGGCCAAGTGAGCAAGGCAGCTGTGTCCAGAAGTAGGTGCCAATGGTACACTGGCTGAGAAGATGGCCTGTGAGTCCCCCTTTACCAGTTCTTAATGGCGAGACATTGGGCAGGTTACTCGGCCTCAGTTTCCACACCTGTGAAGTGGAGGTCATGGTAACGCCTACCTCCCGAGGCTGTTGGGAGGATTACACGAAATCCTGTAAAGCATACAGAATGGTGCACATAATAAGAACTCAATAAGTGTTTTTAAACCCCCCGGTTTGAGTCYAGTGAAAGTAGAGGGAGAAGGAAGGAGGTGAAGCAGGGAGGAAGGCAGGGCTGGATTATGGAGACCACAGTAAGTTATTTGGGTTTTATTCAAAGTTCAGTGGGAAACCACTGGAGGACTCTAAGCAGAGAGCAGCATGATCTGATTTAAAAATTTAAAAGATCAACTCTGGCCGCTCTGTGGGAAATGGATTGTAGGGATTTTCTTCTCTCCAAAAGGTCATGTGTTATGAGAGTGAGCAGGTGAGCTTGTGTGAGGCAGGGTGAGCTGCCTTCTTGGACTCACTCCTTGAAGCCTAGGGTTTTGTCATTGGCTCAACAAATACGTCCTGAGCACTTGCTCTTTCCCAGGAACTAGATATGTACGGGGGATGCAGTCACACGTGACATTCAGACCTTTGGGGAGCCCCTGGCATGGTATGTGGCTCACAGGAGGGGCTCCTTACATGACAGCTCCAGCTAGTCTTTTTTTTTTTTTTTTTGTCATATTTCTTGTTCCTGTCCTCAAGAGCACATGGAAATGGATGAAATGGAGCCAGACATGACCAACTATATTACACAATAACAGGGATCACCTGGGCAACATAGCAAGCCCTATCTCAAAAAAAAAAAAAGTTTCCAAAGAATACTACTTGGTATGAGAGATGTTTGAGAAAGAGAAAATGAAAAGGGAAGGTTACAAAGCTATGTCACAGTATGCACCTTTTAAAAACATAACAAAATGTTTGATTTAGTTATATACCCGTCAGGATTGAATATGTTCACACACCAAAAACATGAACAAGAATATTCATAGCAGTATTATTTTTAATGGTACCAAATAGAAAACAATCCAAATATCCATTAATAGTGAAATGGATAAGACACAATATACAATATTCCATCATAATGAAGATGAATGAGCTACAACTACACTCAAAAATGCCCATAATTCTTACTAACAATGCTGAAAAAGCAGACTCAAAAGATTATGATTCAATTTGTATAAAGTTCAGCAGGCAAAGCTGACATATGCTAATAGAAGTCAGAATGGTGGTTGATTAAAAAAAACACTTTTAGTCATTTAAAAAATTTAAATACACATAAAATTTACATGGTAATGGATGAAATGGAGCCAGACACGATCAACTATAATACACAATAACAGGGATGACCTGGGCAATTTTTACGTGGTAATTCAGTGGCATTCAGCACATTCACAATATTGTGTAACCATTAGAATGATCTGGTTCTGTAATTTTTTTTTTAGTTGTCTATGAACCTTTATTTTATCTATTTAATATGCAGGGCTCAGAATCCAACCCACTGCTGTAACTTTTAAGTAGTCACTCCCCATTCCTCCCTTCCCCCATGATGATACTTTTGAAAAGGAGGGGGAAATGACTGACAGGGGTATAATGGATACTGGTAATGTTTATTCTTTTTCAAAAAATATACCAGTAGATGTTGTATGGTTGTGTTTTTGTTGCAAACATTTAGCTTACATTTATAATGTCTACACTTTTTGTGTGAATGTTATATCTGAGTAGATATAGACATATAAATGTGCTAACAGCGATTTTCTCCCCTGGGAAAAATTACAAGTCCATCACTTTGATTTGTTAACTTGTGTTTTCCAGTTGGTCTTCATGAACACTGGTAATAAGATTTAAAACATCTTAAAGGAGAAAACATTAATTTTAATGTCTTTCAAAATAAAATGTTCCTAGMCAGGCAGGCATAGTAGCTTAGCAAGCCTGTAATCCCACCTACTTGGGAGGCTGAGGCAGGAGGATCACAAATTCGAGATCAGTCTCAAAATAAAAAATTAAAAGGGTTAGAGATATGGCTCAGTGGTAAAACTCCTCTGGGTTCAATCTGCAGTACCAAAAAAAAAAAAAAAAGTCCTTAGTAGAGGCAAAGGTAGTGTCTTCTACCAAAATTCGCCTCAGAATTGATATTTTTACATTTATCCATCACCCTGTGGTTCTGGACCTGTGCTCTCTCCCAGGCTGCCTTTCTTCCTGATGGATATGGAAAGAGTATGTGGGGGAGAGATGAAAAGGAGTGCGTCCCGGCTCTCCTTGGTCACTGGGTGGTTTTGCTYAGAGGATTCACTCCTTGCCTGTCTGGAAGTAAACTCCAAGTAAAAGCTGGGAAATTTGATAAGGACACATAAGAGATTGAGATGAACAGGCTGCTTGTCCTGGCCTGAAAGGAGCACCAGGGTGCACCAAAGGCTTCAAGTAAGCAAGTGATCCTCTCCATCTGCCAACCCAGACACAAGCAGCCACTCTAGACAGAGATTTTCTTTTTTTTTCTTTTTTTTTTTTGAGAGAATTTTAATATTTATTTCTTAGTTATCGGCGGACACAACATCTTTGTTKGTATGTGGTGCTGAGGATCGAACCCGGGCCGCCTGCATGCCGGGCGAGCGCGCTACCGCTTGAGCCACATCCCTAGCCCCTAGACAGAGATTTTCTTAAGAGAAGACATTGACAGCCTTCCTCCGTCCACCATAGCTCTTCCTCCCTTTCAGGGGTTTGGAATGCCTTTAAGCAACCTTTGCTTTATGGATTTTCACATCTTTCAAAACTCAGTTTTCATCTCTGTTCCTTCCACGCTCCTCTGGCACCATTAATCTCTCCCTCTTCTGTGCTTCTGTAGGACCTCATTTATACCTATCCTGGAATAATTTGTGAAATAATTTCCTGCCAAATTATGATCTCTTTAGTAGCTGAAACTAAGTCTTTTTTTTTTTAATCACTGCATCCTMAATACCTACACAATTCCTGGTAATCAGTAGTTACTCATAAATGTTCATTTAAATAGCTGAGGTAGCTCATCTTTTTTCACCTTGATCCTTCCCCTAAGTGGAGTGACTGCACACATTCCCTTCCTTTTCCTCAAGGCTTTTGTTCTCCAATTTTTTCCTTGGCTCAAGATTGATCAATTGCTTGATTGATTTTTTTTTTTAATCTTGAGATAGGATCTCACTAAGTTGCTGAGGACCTTACTAAATTGCTGAGGCTGGCCTCAAATTTGTGATTCTCTTTCTTCAGCCTCCCAAGATGCTGGGATTATAGCAATGTGCCACCRGCCCGGCCAGATTTCTTTCTTAAGAGATTATTATGTACTTCCACATGTACATGCCCTGGAAACAGTGGTACAGATTCATACTCACTTCAGTGTGCATCGTGGGACTTGCAGTCATCCCACATCCTCTCCAGCCCTTGGAACTTGTCCTGCTTCATCCCCTCAATTTTAAAAACTGGGAACATGTTAAATAAGTTCCTTCTATATGAGAGGGATTCTCTCCTAAACATTAAAAATGTCAGTTTTTAGTCCCCAGCACTGCAAAAAAAAAAAGTTGTTTCTATCTGTACTAGTACTTTTACTTACCTGTTAAAGATTTACAACATGCCAGACACTGTCCTGGTTGGTAATGAGATTGGAGAGGCAGGCAGACATCAGCTTTCATTGGACGTGCTCTGGGAACATGTGCCTAATAAGGATCTTGCTCAGGCACAACTGGCTTGAGGAACTGAAATTTCTGCCAAATACTCAAATTTAAGTAGAAGGTAATTAGGTGRAAATGGGTGATAAAAGAGCCAAACTACAGTTTAAAAGTCCCTGAGGTGTGGGGGATGGGAAGGATCAAATGTTCAAAGATCTTCAAGACACTGCCAAGAGCCGGAGTGTGGAGTGGCCAAGGTGAGATTGGCCAAGGTGAGATTGGGGAACGTGGATGAGACAGACAGAGCCTTGCTGGATAAGTCGGCTTTAGTCAGGAGCCTTTTGGTTAAAAGTGACAACAAACCCACTTAGAAAAAAAAGGGGGGCCTTTATTGGCTCAGCAGCTAAAAGTTCAGGGCTTTCAAGATAAAAGATGTCATTGAGTTTTGACACCTCTCTCATCTTTGCTCTCCTTTGTGTTAGCTTCCTTCATTCTTTCTTTGTGAAATTGTCCCCTGATCTCCCCAGCCACAAAGACAAAGCCTGGAGTGGAGACGAACAGGGGGCGAAAAAGGACCATTCCTAAGGGCTGCTGGTCCTTTTATTCTTCAAGACCTGCGAGGGTGCCTTCTTTTCAGATGAAACTTAGACCTCTCCTCTTAGGCCCCCCCGTGGAAAGGGCAGGGTCCGGCCTTTTAGGAAGTTTATGGAGGTAAAGAAAGGGACAGGGGAGGGGACTATTCCCGAGGCCAAAGCTATTTGCTTTCTTAAGGCAGCGAATTCACCTCTCCCCGTCTCTTTCTCTAATGGCCTAAAATGCGTTTTCTCTGCTGCAGCCCAGCCTTCCTGGGGAGCAGGACCGCTGGTTTCGGTAGGAGGAAAGGAGGGCAGGAGCCCAGAACCCCTGGGTCTCCGCCCCGTCCTCTGCTCCCTGCTCCCACTTCCAGCTGCGCTAAGAGGGCTCTGACCTACTTGCCTCACTCCTTCCCGCGGCCTCCAGGCCCCTCCAGCCTCTGCAGGTCCTGACCCGACTCCGGGGCTTCAGGCTCCTGCACCGCCCGGTGGCACCCTCTCCCAGCTCCCGCACACCCCGCCCAGGCCGGGCCGTCCGCACCGCCCACCCAGGAACCCCCTTTTCCCTGGGATCTGGCGCTTCCGCCTCCGGGGCGGAGGCTCCTCCCCTCGCGGTGCCAATTGTGTTCCCGGGAAGAGCGGCCGGAAGGGCTCGGGGCCGGGCCGGGCCAGCGGGAGCGGCCCTCGTCCTCCGGGAGCCGGCGCGGCAGCTCTGGAGACGGCGCGCCCCGCCGGGGCCCAGCGGCGGGCGGCGCGGACGCGGCTTCAGCACCGCGGACAGCGCCCCGCCCGGGGCCCTGCCGCCGGCCGCGCGCTCCAGCTGCTGCAGGCSAGGCGCCGAGGTATGCCCGCGGCATGGCCCGGCGCTGCAGCCCCGCGGCGCTGCTCTGGAGCCTCGGCCTCCTCGGGCTGTGCTCAGGTAAGACGGCCGACCCCAGCCAACGCTCGGGGGCCTGGAAGGCGGGAGGGGTCCCCTGGAGGTGCGGTGCCTGCTGACCCTTAGGGGAGAGCCCCCAGGTGCTGCCCGAGCACTTGAAAGACCGAACGGAAACGGGTATCCACCGAAGGAGTCAGAGATCGAGGAAGAGATGGACACCTGGCCAGTGGGGGCGGAGGGCAGGGAGGCAGGTGCAAGGGTCTCTCCCCAGCTCTCTGGGTGGGAGAGGGGCTGACTGACAGTGGCTGAGATGCCATTTGACTTTGTGTGAAACGTTGCCTCAGAATTCTGCCTGGTCTAGGACCTCTCCCTTGGCTTCCCATCACTTCCCAATGTGTCTCCCCGTTRGGCTCCTGATTTGGGTCACTCCCCAGGGTCAGTCCTGGAAGGGAAGAGGACTGACTGCTTACTTCTCTGGTGGGACGAGACTGGAAGTTGGAAAGGAGGAAGCTGCCAGGCTAAAGATGGAGGAGTTCTCTGAGGGGCTGGGGAGCAGTGGGCTTTCGCAGAGCTAAAGAGGGGGATAGAGAGTGTGGAGGGGAAAGTAAGGGGAATGTGCGGTGGAATGAGCTTGCTACCCTGTGTGCCAACTCACGGGGTGGACCTCTGTATTATGGGGCTTAGGATTCAATGTATGCCCTGATGCACAGCATAGGTCGTCCTACAGTCCCACACCAACCCAGTGCCTGCAAGGGAGCGGCATGGTATCGTGACCACGGTCACATGTGCCGACACATGATATTTGCCCACACCGATCAGGTGTTTCTTGGGAAAACCATGGAAGCAGAAACCTCACGTGTTTTGAAACCACCTCTGAGACTTTGAGGCAAGAGGAGTGGGTTCTTAGTATGGACATCTCCGTTTGGACTCTTTGGTCAGTGGCCTCAGTGAGGGGCTTCTCTATGAGGGTCTTGATCTGGGCCTCACAGAGTAACCTAAACATTTTTCAGTATCCTTAGGGATGGGGCAGTAGGAAGCTATAGCCTTCTGGTTGGGCCAACTAGATTGTCCCACATGTTGACACATAGTGTCCCACATGTCCCACATAGTTAGACCCCATCTTTCAAATTAATTAAGTAACTAAAATGAAATGAAAAATCAGAGCAACATCAACTCTGTGGCCTGCATTTCCAAGAGTAATATAAGGATATATTAACTCACTTCCTKCCCCCACCTTGTCCAGGGGTATGGGGTACAGACACAGAGGAGCGACTGGTGGAACATCTCCTGGATCCTTCCCGCTATAACAAGCTTATCCGCCCAGCCACCAATGGCTCTGAACTGGTGACAGTACAGCTCATGGTATCACTGGCCCAGCTCATCAGTGTGGTGAGTGGTGGTCTCAAACTCTCTGCCCATTACTGAAGTCAACCCAGCTAGAATGTGTTAGTGTTAGTGTTTACTCCTCTGGTGTCCAATGTGGGAGGGACCATGGGTCCTGGCGGTAGGACTACAGTTGGTGTGAGGCTGGGGGCAGGGGGTTTCTCATCAGCAACTGTATTTCCTTGCAGCATGAGCGGGAGCAGATCATGACCACCAATGTCTGGTTGACCCAGGTTAGTGCTCTTCCCACCCCATCCTCCTCCTTTGAAAGGTACAGATTTCGGAGTCTTAAATCATTGGATTGGAAACTCAGTTTGGCCACTCACCAGCTCTGTGACTTTAATTAGACTCCAAGATTCACTTTCTCATTGGTAAAATGTAGATTGTACTACGTTGGCTTAGTTGTGCAAATGAAATGAGAAGGTGTCATATGAGCTACACTTGTTGGGCAGAGAAGTCACAGTGGAGGGAGCTGACTTTTAAAAGCTTCTTCAGGCCCTATGGGTTCCCTCGTGTCTCCTGCCTTGACCTTGGGTCCCTCCCTGAGGCAGGGGTTGGTGCTGCCTCCCTCCCTCTCTCCCTTTCCTAGGAGTGGGAGGACTACCGCCTCACCTGGAAGCCCGAGGAGTTCGACAATATGAAGAAAGTTCGACTCCCGTCCAAACACATCTGGCTCCCAGATGTGGTCCTGTACAACAAGTAGGTGACTCTGGAGGAACAGGAAGGTTGAGGGGGACCATGGGAGTGCTCAGTGAAGGAGGAAGTCTTGTAAAAATAAGAGAAGTAAGCTTATGCTGTGAGAAAAGGGACTTTTCATTGCTAGATATGCAGGCAGGCAGTAGCCAAGGAGACAGACCCAGGAAGTGAGGTCCGGGGTGGACAGCCACAGGGACTTGGACCACRACCAGCCCCTTCTCAGTCAATCAGGACTGCCAGTGTTAGGGGCTTTGGTGGGGATTTAAAAAACTGACAGCCCCCAGTGCCTAAACTGATTCAAGAATATGTTTTTCTGGGGCTGGGGATGTGGCTCAAGCGGTAGCGCGCTCGCCTGGCATGCGTGCGGCCCGGGTTCGATCCTCAGCACCACATACCAACAAAGATGTTGTGTCCGCCGAGAACTTATAAATAAATATTAAAAAAAAAATAAAATAAAATAAAAAGAATATGTTTTTCTGGAAGCCTGGGAAGAGAACTTTAAGGTCCCAGTTTCTCCTCCAGGTTCTCAGGTTCTGTCCTGCCTCCTGCAGCAATCCCTCCCACCTCTAAGGTACAAAATGACTTCCCTCAACTGATGSGACCGTCCTTTACTCCTACCTTCCCCTATCCTTCTTTACTGCTTAGGGATCCTCACTCTGGTCTCCCCACCTTCCCCAACATCTCCACCCTCATGAGAAACAACCAACCTGCACAATATGTGACAAGTAATGGATATGCCCCCCACCTCTCTACCTATCACACCACCAGCATCCCCTTCTTGCTCAACCCTGGCTCTACTTCTSGGGACTCCTGGAGGGTGACTCTCAGACTGGGATGCCCCTCCTCCTACCTTCCTCTGGCTCTCCTCTCCTCCCACTCAGGGGGTYGATGGGTGGGGACAGGGAAATGCTTAGGCCAGGACTGACTGTGCCCATCCCTTGGCAGTGCGGATGGCATGTACGAGGTGTCCTTCTATTCCAACGCGGTGGTCTCCTACGACGGTAGCATTTTCTGGCTGCCACCTGCCATCTACAAGAGCGCCTGCAAGATTGAAGTGAAGCACTTCCCCTTCGACCAGCAGAACTGCACCATGAAGTTCCGCTCCTGGACCTACGACCGCACGGAGATCGACCTGGTGCTCAAGAGCGACGTGGCCAGCCTGGACGACTTCACACCCAGCGGGGAGTGGGACATTGTGGCCCTCCCGGGCCGGCGCAACGAGAACCCCGACGACTCCACGTACGTGGACATCACCTACGACTTCATCATCCGCCGCAAGCCGCTCTTCTACACCATCAACCTCATCATCCCGTGCGTGCTCATCACCTCGCTGGCCATCCTGGTCTTCTACCTGCCCTCGGACTGCGGCGAGAAGATGACCCTGTGCATCTCCGTGCTGCTGGCGCTCACCGTCTTCCTGCTGCTCATCTCYAAGATCGTGCCGCCCACCTCCCTGGACGTGCCGCTCGTGGGCAAGTACCTCATGTTCACCATGGTGCTTGTCACCTTCTCCATCGTCACCAGCGTGTGTGTGCTCAACGTGCACCACCGCTCTCCCACCACGCACACCATGGCGCCCTGGGTCAAGGTCGTCTTCCTGGAGAAGCTGCCCACTTTGCTCTTCATGCAGCAGCCGCGCCACCATTGTGCCCGTCAGCGCCTCCGCATGCGGCGTCGCCAACGAGAGCRCGAGGGCGCCGGGGCCCTCTTCTTCCACGAAGCCCCCGGGGCCGACTCCTGCACTTGCTTCGTCAACCGCGCCTCCGTGCAAGGCTTGGCCGGGGCTTTCGGGTCGGAGCCTGCGCCTGTGGCCGGCTCGGGCCGTTCTGCGGGACCCTGTGGATGTGGCCTCCGGGAAGCGGTGGATGGCGTTCGCTTCATTGCGGACCACATGCGGAGTGAGGACGACGACCAGAGCGTGAGTGCAGCGCTGAGACGCTGAGGGGTCGTGAGACTCCCCAGGGATGGGATGCGGCAAGGGGATCAGGGGTCGGGGTACCCAGAAAGYAGGGTGCCGCTCAGACACGGAAAGCTGAGCACAGGGTGAAGGAAGCGTGCACCAGGCCTGTGCTRGGGGCCAGGCGCTGCCCTGGGCCCTTCTGGGTTGCTTACCGGAGGCTGCAGGGCCTGAATCACAGGTCTGCTCAGATGACCTTGCCTCTTCCTGAGGACTAGCCTCCAGGGGGAAATGCCTCAGCTGGAGCATCTTTAGTGTCCAGAGGGCAGCYTGAAATGGAAAGGAGGCCCTTCTGGGTTGGCAGCTGGCCTGTGGCTGTCACCGAGTCCTTCCCTGCAGCTCACATTACCACCTCCAATGGCTAATCTGCAGCTCTTGCACAAATGGAGATGAGTCCTTCASGCACCCCTTGGGGAGCCAAATTGAGGACAGTAGGGATGTGTACGTGGGYGGTGTCAGTTGGGGGCAGGGTAAGGAGGTTCCATGGACCTGCTCCTCACAGAGAGGAGTCCCAAGTCAATCTCTCTTTTCTATTCTTCTGGGTTCCTGGAAACAGTCTTATGAAATAGTTTTGGAGACAGGGGTGTCCGGAAAGTGGGGCTCGCAGCTTCCCTCACCCCCTACAACACACACTCTTTCTGTGCCTTTGGCTTTGGCTCTTTCTGCAGCCTCTCCCCCAAAGGCATTGCTTGAGACTGAGCCAGGCGCTGGGGGAAGCTGGTGGGTGACGTCGGGCAGCCTTTTGGGCAGCATCTGGACCACCCTGTGGCCATTCTCCAGGTAGCTGGTTGGTTCCAGGCCAAGGCTCAGCTGTTGCCATGATAACTGGCCAGGCTTCCTGGGCGAYTCTGCCATTCCTATTGGGGGATGAGATGGTGCCACTGTTGGTGTGGGTGGGTTGGGGGTTTCATAGGTATTTCATATTTCCTTGGATGGCAGGAAATCGGGCTGGAGCTAAAGCTTGGATTAGGGAGCCTAAGACTAAGAGGGGCCTGAGACTGGAGAAGATGGGGTGGGAGACTGAGAACAGCTGAGGCCAAGTGGGAGAAGCTGGGGTGCAKGGCTGAGCAGCTGCTGTGTCATGGCCTCTGCCCTCCTGCCGCAGTCCACTGCCGTGTGCATTTACTGAGCTGGGTGCTGGGGTGCGGTGACCTACTTGGACGACTCACAGGCGTCTCCAACTCAACACATCAAGACAGAGCGCATGGTCCCACCAGCTTTCTCCCAGCATCAACATCTTTTATCAACGGCATCGCGGTTGAYCCAGTGGTAGACCCGCACTGGAGATATCTCTTGCTCCTGTCTTTCTCACCTCCGCCCCCTCCAAGTCATCGGAAGTCCTGTACTGCGAGCACCATCTCCAAAATAATCCTCAACTTCATCCTTTTCCCACCACCCTGGCTCTAGGCCACCTCAATTCTTGCCTGGACCAGAGAAGAATCTCCTAATAGTCCCCCTGATTCAGCGCCAGACAGACAAGACTCTCCTCAGCTTGTGTCTTTTCCTCCTCCTCCTCCGCTGGTTGGCTTCTCTGGCTGCCCTTAGGACCTTTGCATATATAGGTCTCTCCCTGGAATGCCTTTCTTTTTTCCCTCTAAAAATCATCACAGTTAGATGCAGTGGTAAATCCTCATAATCCCAGTGACTCAGAGACTGAGGCCAGTCTGGGCAGCTCAGTGAGATCCTGAAGAATAAAAAGGGCAGGAGGTGTAGCTCAGTGTAGAGCACCCCTGGGTTCCATCTCCAGGACTGCAAAACAACATAGCCCAAATCCCACAAAAGTCATTGCTGTTGTTAGTTTTTGCCCTATTATTTGAAAATAAGTTTCAGACACCRTGACCCTTTATCCCAAATACTTCAGTGTGTTCCTCCCAAGAACAAGGACACTCTCTCACATAACCCAGGCTCAGAACTGGGGGTGCAGCTCAGTGGCAGATCAGTGCTTAGCATGTGTGGGACCATCTCTAGCACCACAAACAAATAAACAACAAAAAACCCAAACAACAGCAGCAGCAAAAAAACCCAGGTTCAGTGATTAAATTCAGGAAATTTACCACCAACACCTTTATCTAATATAAAGTACACATTCAGATTTTTCCAGTTGTCCCTGCACATCCTTCATAGGATCACCTTCCACCCCCACCCCAATCCAAGGTCTCAAATCGCCTTTGGTTGTTGCTTTAGTTTCCTTCAATCTGGAATTGTCCCCCAGCTGGTCTCCCACGGCATAGACGTTTTCAAAGTGCACAGGCCGGGGGAGTTCCCTCTGCTTGGGTTTGACTGTTTTTCACCCGTGTATCCCCGAAACAGCTGGCTCTCTCCTGCTCAGCCGATCTTAATTTAAATGTCACCTCCTCAAAGAGACTATCCTAGGCCACGTTCTGAATTAGATCCTCCTCCATTTCCCTACCTCAGTCCTTCATATCCCACAAAGTGTGAAATTTCCTATTCTGACTTATTTCTGTCCCCGCATCGTAGACTCTCGCTGCAGTAAGCATCCGTGGTGCCCAGTTGTACCCCCGGTGCCCAGCATGGCACCAGGTGTGTAGGAGGCACGATTGTGATGCGAATGAGTGATAATTTAGCTGCCGGGCCCCAGAGAAACATGTGCAGAGGCCCAGACTCAGGCCACCAGGAGCAGCTCCAGAGGGAGGCTGGCCCCAGAGGGAGGCTGGCCCAGAGAGAGGCTGGCCCCAGAAGGAGGCTGCCCCAGAAGGAGGCTGGCCCCAGAGGGAGGCTGGCCCCAGAGAGGCTGGCCCCACCTGCAGGCCCCGAGGCTGACTCTCAAGCCCCAAGAGCATTCTTTGTCACTCACAGGTTTACATCCCAGACCTGGTGGTGACCTTCTGGGGCCTCTGTGCTTCAGGTGGTGCTGTGGACAGGGCTCCCCATGAAGCCACAAAGGAACGCAGCYGGAGAGGCAGCCCTCCACTCAGGCKTTCAGCACCCGCTGACTGGATTCTGTTTCAGAAACGGGGGTTACAAGGTGGAATCAGGCAGGGTTCCTGTGACGTAGGACCTTGCAGCTGAGTGGGAAGACACAGCTWCAAGTCAGAACAATTCAGTGAGTACAGTGGAGATGTGGGGACGGAGATGTAACATAGTGCCCAGGGAACCCACGGCCCGCAGTGTCTCACTGTGATCCAGGCTCAAGGGAGCCTCATGGGGGAGGTGGTATTTCATTTGGGCTTTGAAGGATGTATMGGAGTTCACCAGGAGAGAAAGCTCAGGATTTTATTTTTCTTTATTTTTTTTTAATTTTTAATTTGTTCTTTTTAGTTACACCTGACAGTAGAACATATTTTGACATATCGTACATACATGGACTATCACTTCCCATATTTGTGTTGTACATGATGTGGAGTTACGTATGTACTCATACATGAACATAGGAAAGTCATGTCTGATTCATTCTACTGTCTTTCCCATTCCCATCCCCCCTTTCTCCCCCCACTACCCCTCCTCCCTCTTCTCCACCCATCGTGAGTCAGCATCCACATATCAGAGAGAACATTTGGCCTTGGGTTTGGGGGATTGCCTTATTTTCACTTGGCATGATAGCCTCTGGTTCATCCGCTTCCCAGCAAATGCTATAATTTCCTTCTTCTTTATGGCTGAGTAATATTTCATGGTGTCTGTGTACCAACTTTTCTTTATCCMTTCATCTGTTTCAGGGCCCCTAGGTTGCTTCGTAGCTTAGCTATGGTGAATCGAGCCGCTATAAACATGGATGTAGAACGTGTTGGGGTTTGGTAAACTTGGACTATGGGGTGGAAGAAAAATAGAAGACAGGCTTCTACCTGTCACGGGTAGATCTTGRTTCTAGACCTGGGGGTTGGGCCCGAGGACAGTAGGACCACTGGGGGCTTTTGGTCAGTCAAGACCAGAGCCGTGCTTTATTTAGAAATGCCACTCTGGGGTCTCTGGAGGAGAGGAGTGCAGTGGGTGTAGGGGTGGTGGGACCTCCACCCCAATCTGTTAGGGTGAGATTGCAGTAAATCCCTGAGTCGATCCTAAAGCAGGAGACGGAACCGACTTTATTCCCCAGCTGGTGGGCCAAGGACAGGCTACAAGTCTGCACCCTCCGACCCGCTCTGGGGGTTTGAGTGCAGCCTCCATACCATAAGGAAAGCATGTCAGTGCGTTAATCCTAAGTGGCTRTTGTAGGATCCAAGACCATAAACAAACATCTTGACATCTAAAACCATAAGCAGAAGGGGAAGTGGGTCAAAACGTCCCTGGTTGAATACAAGTTAAAGAACGATCACTAACGTAGACGATCATTCTCTGACAGGGTGCATTGGTCCAAGAAAAACAGGAACCAAAGAGAACTACTTTACTTGTGTAAGAATTGCTGTTTGTGTGGCCAAACATGCTGTCTAAGCTACTGCTGGTGGGCACGGAGGCGGGCTGTCCCACGGGAGAAGCAGTTCTTGCATGACCTCGAGTCTCCGGTAAAATGGAGTCTGTCTGGTCGATGCCCACTTCGCCTGGCCCGCAGCAATCCCACCCATCCCGCGTCCTGTGGCTGACCCCTGGCTCTCTTCCCCCCATCCAGGTGAGYGAGGACTGGAAGTACGTGGCCATGGTGATCGACCGTCTGTTCCTCTGGRTCTTCGTCTTCGTCTGTGTCTTCGGCACCATCGGGATGTTCCTGCAGCCYCTCTTCCAGAACTACACCAGCACCACCCTGCTCCACGCGGACCACGCGGCTCCCAGCTCCAAGTGAGCGGTGCGCAGCCCCCTCCTCCTCCAGCCCTTGACCCCTGGTGTGCGGCAGCCGTGGTTGGAGGATGGACGAGTGAGCTTCCAGGAAGAGGGGTGCTGTCCCCCAGAGCCGTCCTCTCACCTCATGTGGAGCCCCGACACCTCYGTCTCCACATCTGGCCTGCAGAATGGGACCGGCTGCGATGCATTGGGGCTTCTCCTCTCACCACTCCTGACAGTGCCGTCAATGTGGAGGGCCGGGGTAGATGGAGGACGGAGAGGCCAGAGCCCTCCACCCTGAGGAGGGGGACAGGGAAGGGCCAATAGGGGACAGAGTCACCCAAGTCCTGGGAGAGGGGCCCTATGGCAGGAGAGGCAGAGGCACCAGAGTTGAGAAGGGAGGAGTAGAGCAGAGAGGCCTGGTGTGACCTGATGTCCACCCCTGTGTCAGTGGACAGCAGCCGGCTGGGTAGGCCTCCTGGCATCTGAGGCTCCTGCACCGAGGGCTCAGCCCGGGGGAGGCCTCCGCCTCAGTCCACAGCCAGTGCCCCYGGGGCTCCAGGTCCATCCCCACCCCCGCTTCTGCCCAGGGGAGGAGCCCGCACCTCCTGGCCTTCCCTTTCCTGCTCAGGCGCAGGGTGAAGCGGGCAGAGCCGGGTGTCGGGAGCTCTGAGTTCTGGATCTTTGGGTGCTGGGAGTCTGAGGCCCAAGCGATTGMACTGTGTGAGAAGCGCAGGTTCATAAGCTCTGGGAGCTGGAAGAACCTTTTACAGTCACGGATCCCAACAGAGGCCGTGTTCTGGATGGACAAACAGAACCAGAGGTGGGATGAGCCGGGGAGATCTCTGGCCCTTCCTCCCACCCGAGGCCCATCCGACGGGGCTGCCCTGTGTCCCCTCACGTTGAACTGCGTGAAGAGAGGGATCTGAGGACCTCAGCCCGCCAGAGCTGAGCTGGTAGGAGAGCGGCCCAGGGAAGCCACCTGGGCAGGACGGCCAGGTCAGCACTGTGCCTGCGGAGACTCAGGTCGACACAGAAGTGCAGGAGGCCAAGTGTGCTGCTTCCACTGTCCCCTCCCGCAGGAAGCAGGACTTGTGCTGCCCATCCTGGGGTCCCTGCAGGCTGCATTCTGGCACTGRAGGCCACCTGACCCATTAGCCCAGGAAGCGGATCTATTAAGGGACCTCCTGTCCCCGCCCCCACCGTGTGGTCTCGGATCTGTGGTCCCAGTCTGTGTTTGGTGCTGGGCCAGCAGATGGCAGGTCACAGAGACKTCAGTCGGCCATGGCTCCCCAGGATGGGGCCTGACCTGGCCATTCAGTGCTCTGAGCCCAGTGGGATCTGCTGCTTCTCCAGGCACAGGGGACAYGGGAGGCTGTGCTGATGCGTGGGTGGGAGGGGACACTGCACAAAGAGCGCTGGACAGGGATTCYGGAAGCGGAGTTCTCATTGAGCCGTCCCCAGCAAGCCCCTTTGCCCATGTGGGCTCTGCCTCCTTGTCTACAACTGCAGGGTCGCCGTGAGGGTGAAGGGTGCTGCGTGCTRCGTGCTGCATCTGCAGGGCCACCGGAGCCTGCGGGTGGGCCGCCTGATGGCATGCCAGCCTTCCTCCCAGACCCGTGCTTGCCCTGGCTCCTCCTTGGGCAGCCCACGTCTCCCTAGCCGGGCTTGATCAGAGGAGCCGGGAGGGGCGTGGAGGCTGCTGGGGAGCCCYGCCCCGGAACCGTTGAGTGAGTCTAATGGTGAGGGCTTCCCTCTGGAGTGTCCGCAGCCAAGCTTCGTTCCTTCCCAGGGGCCGATGGCTGGCCTGGCCCTGCCTCCCTTARAGGTCAGCTCCTCCCGATGTGGGTGTAAGCTCAGGGACAGCTGACCTAGTCCCAAAGGTGGAGGAGCACCCTGGGGCCTGACATCAGCCGCACATTTCTCCACCTGTCAGTTGTGCCCGTGGACCTCTCTTCTCCCSGAGGCAGGGAGTGTTCCTGAATCCTGACGACGCCCCGCTTCTAGAACAGACCACAGGAGGGTGTTATGCCCAGACCACTCCAGACGCAGAGCCCTGGGGAGGTGTCCTAAAACAGCTATTGGAAGGGAGCTCCCCCGGCCCCAGCGAGTAGGGTGCCAGCTTGCGGGGGCCCTGCCAGCTGCTGCTGGGGTCGTGTGAACCTGTCTCGTGGCTCTGCGGATCCCATGCAGGCCTCACGCATTCTAGGCGAGCAGTCTATGGCCGAAATGCAGCCCCAGCCTTTAATGCTTCTGAGCGGCTGTTGTCCAGGTTAGTGACCAAACTGTGCTGAGGGGGTGCCAGTGAGTAGTCTGACTCCTCTCCGTGTCCCATCTGTCACACTGGGAAACTGAGGCCCGAGGTCATTTGCTGTCTGGTCTCATGCAGGCACCTCTCTCTGAACTTGCTGTTCTGCATGTGTACGGCAGGATGGCAGCGGGCAGGGGCTAAGGGGGGGGAAGGAGGTCAGTGTATGGGACTCTGTCCACTTTTGGGGTAGCCCCCCTTGGGGATTATTGCAGTCGGGAGGAGGGGAGGGCAGAGGTGGTGAAGGAGGGCCCCACTGCCCGGGCAAGGAAATGCCACATGTCGGGACCGTGGGAGCCCTCAGGGGCACTGGCAAGTTTGGGGAACCACAGTTCCTCTCCCTCGGGTCCCACACCCTCTTCCCTTGATGATGCCAGGGAGCCCCTGTCTCCTTTCCACRGTGGGGCTGCACCTGGGTACAAGGCTCAGTGCTAGGCAAGGATGAGCAGGCCCTGGAGCTGAGGAGGGGGTAGACAGACTGCCTGGGGACCTGGGACACGGACTTGGGAGGAGGCAGTGAGAGAGGAGGTGGGATCACTCATCAGAGGTGACCCGGTCACAGTGACTCGGTGGCCACCTTTGGAAAGAAGGTGTGCACAGGCTTCCTGCCTCGCTCGGCAGCCCTGGCAGCGAGGTGTGCGATCCTCCAACAGCTGGTGCCAGGTTATTGAAAGTTAAAAGCAAACAAGATGCAGGCGTCTGCCCAGATGGCATGTTCCGCAGGAGGGCGTCTGCGGAGGAAGGGCAGGGCCATTCCCTCCCAGGAAATAGGATGACTGGGGCTGAGAGCCCTGTTCCCGCCTCTCCAAATCCCAGGGTTAGCTACCGCTGACCCAGGGTCTGTTCTGGGCCAGTCCCTTTAGAGGCACTGTCTTTATTCCTCCAAATAGTCCTGTGGGAGGGCCCCGGTTGGCAGAAGAGACCAAGTGACAGCTGATGGGTAGTGCTGGCCCCTCAACCCATGAATGCCCCAATGTCCAGGCATGGGCTATGGCCCTGGAGGTGGGTGGAAGAGGAAGGTGGGGGGCATCCAGAGCCTTCTCTGAATCGCTCCCCAAGCCCGAGTGACTCGGTTCCCGTCGTCACCCTCTGCTTCTAGGCAGCAGTGGATCGTAGCATTCCTCACAGCACAAAGAGCACTGGCCAGCCTCCCGTCCACTCACCCTGACCAGACAGGACAGTCACCTTTTAATAGTTATCCCAATAGGTCTAAAGGTGGGTGCGAGAGACACATTGTTCCTAAGGGACTTTAGCTCTAGAAATCTGTAGGACACCTCCCTCACCCCCACCCCGCTGCCCGCCTCCCCACGCCGCCCTTGACCCCCTCTGTCTGCGCCCCTGGAGTATCTGCACTGGTCTGGCCCGCCCCTGGCTGGACTCACTAGGAACTCGAGATTCTCGTAAAGAAAGTAGTTTCCAAAGACACCTTGTCCTCCTGTTCTGTCTGGGGCTGTGTGGGGTGGTGGGCATCCTCCAGGCCCCGGCTGGCGAACGTGGGAAGGGGAGGGTGCTGGAGAGATGGAACTCGGGGGTCAGAGACGTGACGCGGTCCAAGAACAGGGGACGGGAACCGTCTGCTGCTTGACAAGCCCACTCTCAACTGGGAAGGGCACCACGGTGGAGCTGGAAGTGGCCCTTGGGGGGGACCTTTTTTGAGGACTAGTCTTTTGGAGGCACCTGGATGAAATGCTGTGTGGGTCCCAGTGAGGGAGAGCTGAACAACTCTGCTGCTGCGTTTTCACAGAGCAGTCCGCCTCCTCGCCCACGGGGTGCTGGGGCTGACAGGGCCCTGGCCTCAGGCTTTAAGGAAATTACCTGATTTCCTCTGAAACGTGGGCTTTGAACTCAGGCTCACACCTTAAGCACCTGCTCTGCCATGGAGTTATACCCCCAGTCCAGGAAACGGTCTTGGGGGTTGAACCCAGGAATGCTCTCACGCGGGGCTGCATCTCCAGCCTTTTTTAATGGTTTGAAACAAGTTTTCACTAAGTTGCTGAGGCTGGCCTCAAACTTGTGAAACTCCTGCCTCAGTCTCCTTAGTTGCTGATATTACAGGCGTGTGCCACTGTGCCCAGGGAACGCGTCCACTTTCTAAAAGACACAGGTCTTTCCCTTCTAGTGGAACCAGGAGCTGCCCGAGGACAGAGGCGCTCTACACCATTGGAGACAGTATCCTGCACTCTCTTTAAAGTTGTTCCGTTCTAGCAATAAATTTCAGCCACTGTTAGTGACACTATGAGGAGTCCTTGTCTTTATGTGTTGTGTCCCAACACGCTGAAGGCCCCCTGGCCTCAGATCCAGCCGTATAGAGGATGAGGAATGAGGTCTTGTGGCGACCTAAGCTCCCCGTTAGGTGCTTTATGTCCTCTGACATGATGTCGTGGTTAAAAAGTCAAGGATGCAGTGGCTTGGGAGGCCGAGGCAGGATCTTGAGTTCAAAGCCATCCTCAGCAACTTAGTGAGGGCTTAAGCAGCTTAGCAAGACCCTGTTTCAAAAACATGAAAAGGGTGGGATGTGGCTCAGGAGTTAAGTGTCCCTGGGTTCAATCTCTGGGACCAAAAAAGAAAGAAAGAAAAAAAAAAGTCAAGGATAGGTCTTCTGGAAATTTGGGAGTAAGTTACAATGTGGAAAGAGGTGAATGTCCTCGAAATTCAAGATGGAGAGATGGTGGATGCCTTGTCTCCCAAGACTGCAGCTAAGCCTGCTCAGCTCCCCAGCTGCAACTCGGCTCCAAAGTCGCATCAGCTGGGAGGGGGGAGTGGGGGAGGGAACACCCTCAGGGAGAGCTGGAACTGTGAATCTGTCACGTCCCCTCTCAAGGGATGTTCCCTCCTGGGCCTTGAAGTCCCGCAGGGCCACCTCCCTGAGGACAAAACAGTTAGTGGTGGGCTCTGTGGTGTGGGGTGGGGAAGTACTCCACCCCGCCCAGTGGAGGCTTCCTTCCTCAGGCTGAGGGACTGAGTGAGGGACAGCCCTCTCCCCAGGTTCTCTGTCGGATGCACCTGGTGCTGTTACCAGAAACCCCAGGACACAGGTCCCTCTGCTCCCACCTCCCCTCCCCCAAGAGACCGCGACATGAAGCTCTCTAAGGATTCAGACTGTTCACTGCTTTTATTTCGGAGGAATGTATACTGTGAGTCACTTGAAGGTAGACACAAAGCAGAATCATGAAACTGGACTGCAGCCGCCCGGCACCAGGCTCGGCCTGGGCTCTTCCCCACTCTGCTCTTGGAGTCGCTGTCAAGACCCCAAAGCCAACAGAGTCCTTTCAACTTGGGTARAGGAAATAGCTTCAAGCATCAACGAGTTTTACAAGTGATTATTCAAAGATAATGCACAATAGCCACAGTTCAGACAAATCAACTACAAAAACCATTAAAGAAAGGAGGGAGGGGTCTTGCTTATGAAAACAAAGATCGGACAGAAGTGAACACGGGGACGCTCTGCCCACGGTGGGTGTGACCCACGGTGTGACTCCGGGGGCGGGGCCTGACACGGCTCAATTCCAGCAGGGGGTGGAGGGCAGGGGTGCTTCTGGCTTTCTTCTTACAGCAGAAACTGAATGTGACAAGTTTGCTAGACAAGATCCTGGGGCGAGTGGGGCTCTGATCTCTTGAGAGCCCCTGGGCTCCCAGTGATGGGGTGGGGGACCTCGGAGTCAGATCTCTGCCAGAGACTCTAATGCCCAAGGCAGACCCAAGCTGCCAGACATCCTGAGGAACGGGTAGGTAYCATCCTCCAGCCGGGAGGACCTGCCCCCACACAGTGAGCACTGTCACACTCCAAGCTTGGCAATATTCACAAAGCCCCAGCCCCTTCCCCCCCAGAGACAGGCCCCGTTTCCCCACCAGTTCCCTTGGGATGCTTCGGTGTCCCACACAGACATCCTTAGTGTCTTTTTAAAAACCTGCATTGGTATTTTGTTCAGTTTTTGGTCACAGGTACAGAAAGTAGCCAGAGAGATCAAAGTGCCAACACAGACATATCCACTACTGAAGAGGTGGGCAGACCAGGTGGGGGACCAGTCAGCAGTTTGTGGGTGGGAGGCAGGGTGTGGGAAATCATCTGCGGGCACTGGCTCGGCCCGTCCCAGAGCCATCTGACAAGACGTGGCCCTGGGATGGATGGAAAAGGCCGTCTGCATTTTAAATCTGTGCCACTGCACTTGAGAACCAATGACTCTGGCATTCCTTAAAAGAGCCCTAATTCTACTGGGTTTCCTCAACTCCCCTTGGATCAGTGCTGAGAAATATCGTACTGCACAGAACAATGATTTGTCCAGACATGATTTTTGCTCTATTCTTGCTAAGTCCTAACTCTCTGAGCAGACGATTTACCCTCTAAGAATTGTCCTGAAGTTTTTCACACTAGTTTACTGGGGTCTATGGGCTTATGGGCAGATGGGCGATGGGCAATAGCCCAAGGAACGACTGTCTGTGCCCCTGGTAGTGGTCTGTGTCACTCTGCAGGGGGGACCGCCTACGGTGTGGGTAACTTCCCAGCCGGTCTGCTGGTTCTCAACTTCCTGCTGCCCCGGGAAGGGATGCACTTCGAGAGCAGCGGCTTTYTCCTGGCTACGGTGCAGGTTCCAATCCCACTTCCATTGGCACYGGAAGTCAATCACCCTAGTCTTCAACTCCTGCCCTTGTAAATACTTCACCTAACTCCTAAGGTCCACCTCTTTACCCTCCGGGGTGGGAGGAGAAACTCRGTGATCTCAGGTAGGAATCTCGAAGCCGGGGGTGGGGAACAGAGGGACCTGTGGGACCCATAACCGAGATCCTTGGTCCCTGACACGGTTCACAGAGAACTGACCKGAACCTGATCAGGTCCACGAGGGGTCAGTGTAGAAACACCCACGAAAAGGAAAGGGGGAAAAGAGCTCGGGAGGAGGTGGGCCACAGGGGCGGGGTGGCTGCTTCTGCTSGGGGTGGAAAGGTCGACCCTTTCTCTGCCTGTGGGTCTCGGCCTCTCACGTGAAGTGAGAGAAGGGGCCCGGCCAGATTCTGCCTAGAAACCCCAAAGAAAGCAGGATAAAGGGAACCCACAGTCCTCAGTGTCTCTAATTATGGTTCCATTAAAAAAAAAAAAGGTGGGGGTTACCCCCCTCGGCCAACGTGATGGGAATGCCAGGACCCCCCCTCCCCGCCAGCCCCGGGCTCAGTCGTTGGGTACGGGGCACAGGTAGAAGTTCTTCTCCTCCTGGGGTTTGCTTATCCAGTTCCCGTAGCCCATGTCCTCGAGGCTCTTTTTGAAGTAGTTCTTGTTTATCTCGTAGTCTCGGGCGGCCTTCTTGGCCTCGCCGTAGGAGAGCTTCAGCAAGTCCCTGCGGTACCGGAAGGAGCACAGCTTCTTAAACTGAAGAAAAATGTTCTTTTTCGATACCCGCGACAATTCGTTCCGTGGCCTGGGGAAACAAGGGCACTGGTCGCTCACCTGGGGCACCGTGGTGGACGCGGCCCCCAGCTCTGGAGGGGATCCTGCCTGCCCGGCACCTCCCACTTCCTTACCCGTCCACGGTGCCCCTGGTGCCATCCAGGATCTCCAGGTCGAAGCCGTCAGCCAGACACCAGTTGACGCTCGTCTCCTTCGTCTTCCCGGATTGCCTCTTGGAGTCATAGACGCTGACTCGGCCGACCTAGGAGTCCCAGGAGCCAAGAGAGAAAGGTGGACCCCATTCAGGGCTAAGTCTGGGAGCAGGGACTCCCTTGACCTAACACGGCGTGGTCACACCGGGGCACCCCCTAGCAGCACTCTCCACCCGACTCAGGTCGTGTCAGCTACAGGAGGAGGAAAGCCCTTGGCCTCCAGAGGACCCAGCCACGGCTCCCTTGCCCATAGTCTGCTCTGCCGATGGGAATGCTTGAAAAGGGGAACAGGACAGGGGCACACACCTTCGGGTGGTTGACGATAAAGGGGTATCGTAATCCAGCCTCAAACGCACTCCCGTCTCTTGTCACACGACAGCAGATAGCCCGGGTCAGATGTCCTTGGCTGAAAAGGTACCCTGGGTATAAAAAAAGAAAGTAAAAACAGAAACAAAACCCATTCGTCTGTGTTTTCACCAAAGCTGTGGAGAAGCGGAGGCCCCGGGGGCTGGAAGGCATAAGGCAGAATTGTCAGGACAGGCAGGGCCTCTGACTGTGGCAGCGCAGGACACACAGGATCATCAAATATTTAAGCACAAAACAGAATGTTTCGGGTAAGGCCAAGGACTGAGGAGAACAAGGAAAACCAGATGTTGCTGCTGCCATCTGCCGCGTTTCTCTGACCCGTCTTGGAGACTAGCCTGGCCCCCCTCCTGGGCCGCCCTCCCGCCTGTGCAGGCCGGCACCCGCTGCTGACCACGGAGCCGAGCTCACTGTGGAAGTGGGTTGACTGAAGCATGAAGTTTCTGGGATTTGGGTGGAGGACAGGTGGGTTCCAACTCCCAAGGCAGGTCCCTTACCCAGTGTGACAGATTTGAGATACACAGGGTGTAGGAAGTGGGTCAGCAGTGCCCCTTGCAGGCCCAGCACGTTCCAGCGTAGGATTTTGTCACTACAGGACATGGTGCGGAGTCTCTCCCCAAGCCGGATGCCATCCCACGTAGGTACAATGTCACTGGACTCCACAGGGATCGTGCCTTCCCCTGTGTGAGAGACTCGGGTCACCGACCACCCCCCAGCACAGGACTTGAGCTCCTGAGGCCGGCCAGGGGCAGCTCGGCCCTTCATTCTTCATGGGGCTCACAGTCCTGGAGGACAYGGCGGTCACTGTGCTGGGGGCTGGGAAACCCTGGGGAGCAGACCTCCGTGATGTCCACCGGGTGAGGGACAGAAAGGGAAAGGAGAGCACTAAGCAGAAGCACAAACGTGCAGGTGGGAACTCCAGATGCTGACAGCGTGGCGAAGGCCGGTGGGAGAGCCAGGGGAGGACGGCACCGCGCAGCTCCTAGGTGGAGGAGGCAGGGAGCAGCTGGAGGGAGACAGAGAGGGCGGCAGAAGCCACGGCCTGAGGCAGCGAGGGTTTCGGTGTTTCAGGGGCTGACGAAAGTGCAAGGGCACCAGAGAATCACCAAAGAGAAGAGTGGGCAGGCTGAGGCCAGAGGTGGACTTTAAGTAGAGACAGGGCCTCGCTGAGTTGCTCAGGGCCTCGCTAAGGCTGGCTTTGAACTCGTGATCCTCCTGCCTCAGCCTCCGGAGCTGCTGGGATTGCAGGTGTGGGCCACTGCGCCTGGCTCAGGTTCTGCCTTCTTATCAAGGGCCKTGGGAGACCCGACATGGGGCTTGCTTTTTTTTTAAACATCAGCTTTACTGAGATACAAGTCATACACTACAACTCACCACTGAAAGCAAGCTGCTCAGTGGTTTTGGCATTTCTGAGGTCATGCACCATGGGATTGTACATCGGCACGATTTTAGAATGTTTTGTCAACCCCAACCCGACCTYGGCTGGCTCTCACTCCCACCTCCCTCCATCCCCACTCATCCGGCAGCCTCTCGGGCACGTCCTGTCTTTAGAACTCATTTATTCTGGATATTTCATAGAAATGGAATCACACAACGTGATCCTTTGTGACTGGCTTTTTTCACTTAGTGTGACGTTTTCAGGGTGACCTCACTGTGGCTGGGTCAATGCTGACTTCATGTCATGGCCAAGGACAGTCCCTCGCGTGGATGTGGTGGTTTTACTTTTCTGTCATGGAGGGGAGGGCGCTGGCCGTGTCCCCCGCCAGGCTGCTGTGAAGGCGCCTGAACTAGCTCTGGGTGGACCTGGGCTTTCACTTCCCTGGGGATAGCCCAGGAGGACTGCCGGGCCCCGTGGTGCTGTCCAGACTTCAGGGTGGCCAGCAGGGAACTGACGGGACCTGACTTGGGCTTGACAGTGACGCAGACGACTGCTGAAGCATGAAGGGAGCAGGGGTGACCGGAGGAGGCACCGGGGAAGGAGACGCTGGGGGACAGGCAGGAAGGCGCGAGGGGGCAGGAGGCCAGGTCCGAGGCCACCAGGTGGAGGGCCTGACTTTTCACTTCTGCCGCCCTCCCCCAGCAGAGTGCTGGAGACCCCAGGAGGACACGCTCTGTCCTTTCTTCCCCGCCAGGCTCTCATCACCCGAGCTAACAAATTCAGAGTGGAACTCCCCTTCCTACAGTCCTCCCYGTGACGAGTGGCGCACGCGGGGGTCTCGCAGAGCCTGTGTGCACTCACCATTCTCCACCTTGGTGCGCAGCTTGCCTTGTTTGGGATTCTCAAAGACAGGGTAGTGGCGGGAGTCTGTGCTCTCCAGGGCGCGGTCACTGCAGGACTTGTCGAAGAGGGCGCCGTCTCCACACGGGGCGGTGCTGCAACACAGGGYGTCCGTCACTCACCTGCGCAGACTTCCCTCCAACTTCCCGGGGTCCCTAGTGTGCTGCCGCCGGCGCTGGATGTTTCCTGCAGCCCACGGGGATGCTGGAGGGGGCAGCTGTGTCTAGGACGCTCATCCTCCACTGGGAATGCACCTCATGGTAACTCAGTGTGGCCTGTTGTGTGGGGTCAGATTCCGGGGCCGGCAGAGCAGGGGAAGCCCAGCCCGGGAGCCCGGCAGGGTACAGACCTGATGTACAGGTGGAACGAAACAGTCTTTTTTATCTGGAGCTTCTCTCCTCCCCGGGCAAGCTCAAATATACTGTCCTTCGCCGTCTGGGGGTTGTATTTCATCAACTCACTGTAGAGGAACCTGTAAAAGACGAGCAGTTAGGACGGCGGGTTGGATTCTGGCCAGAGCAGATGGGGCTTGGAGCTGACCCCTATCTGAGCCCCAAGTGGGGACAAGTTTCTGGTGCAGATCTTCTAGCTTCTCAGGTGGGAAGCTTCCCAGAGAGACTCAGCGTTTCATAAAGCACAGTGAGCCTCTCGGGCCCCTTTCATTTCCGCCAAAGGCCCCTTGCTGTGGCGGCTGAGGGACTCCAGGGCAGAAGGACTGGCTCAAGGCTTCGGGAGGCAGCTGCCTCTTCCCGGCTCCTTCACAGATTAGAGAAGAGGCGACCGGGAGGAGGAAGCCGCAGCGACACGAGGTGCTGAAGGGTCCTCGAGTGGAGAAGGAGGCGCCTCGTCCCCAAGGCCCGAGGACCCCGGTCATTTTGTTTTGAGAAACAGAAGACGGCAGAGTTGGCAGAAAAAGGACTTAGGACCGGGCTGGGGGTAGGAGGCAGAGGGTCGCGGAGGGGACTGCTCTACGAGGGCTCAGATCACAGGCCAAACACGAAGGCCACCACTGCTGGCTCCGGGACCTGCCGGGGTGTCAGGAAGGCCTGTGCCTGTGCCACCGTGCCCAGGTGGGCGGGGCAGCCCAGCAGGTGCTCGCTCACCTGATGAAGCCTCTCCGGGAGATGATCTCCGCGTGACAGTCGTTGACGGTCTCTCCCTTGAGGCTGAGGGAGTCTCCTTTCACACAGCGATTCCCTGGCAAGGGTTGGGAGCAGAAAGGGAAAGGTCAAAGGGGAGGGAGGGTGGAGTGGGTGGGGCAGTCTGCCTTCAGGCTTGGGAGAAGGAGTCCACCCCCACCCTGAGCTGACTGCAGCTAAATGGCACCCAGGTGTGTCCTTTACCCAAGTGCGTAGGACCACGGTGTTGCATGGAGTCTGCTAGTTGAGCATCCCTAATTTGGAAATCTGAAGTGTTCCAAAAAGGAAAGCATTTTTTTTTTTGGGGGGGGTACTGGGGATTGAACCCGTGGGCACTCAGCCCCTGAGCCACGTCCCCAGCCCTTGGCAGCATTGTTTTAGAGGCAGGGTCTTGCTGTGGCTTAGGTCTGGCTCAGTTGCTGAGGCTGGCTCTGAATTCTCCATCACCCGGCCGCAGCCTCCCGGTGGGTGGCATGAAAGGCAGCCTGGCACCTGGCCCAAATCCAGAGCTTTTTAAGATCCATGTCAGGACGAGGGGACACRTGGCCTGTCCCCGGCCTTGGACTTGCTCACAGGGACTCAGGGGAGGGTGAGGAAGACCTGCTTCCAGTCACTGAGAGGCTGGTGGCTCACCTGTCCCCAAGCTGACCACSACACCCATGTCCTCAGGGTCTTTCTTCATAATGATGGCGGCTAGGATCTTGCGGCCGAGCAGGGAGGGCTGGAAACTGTTTGTGAGGGCGTTGAAGCACCGGTGGCTCAGCATCGCTATCTGGTCGTGGAAGGTACTGCCAGTGAGAGGAAGCTGTGGGGACAGRGGGTGTGAGGGTCATGCAGCCTCGCCCGCGTCCACCATGCTTCACAGTGGGCAGGGGGTCACGTGCTAATGGACTCGTGCACCACCTTCCTTTCCCCTTCCACATCTAGTGTCCCAGTTAGATGCTCTATTGAGGCTAGTAGCATAGCCAAGGGACAATTCACATGACAGCTAGTGACAAGCCAGCTCCACCCCCAAAACAAAAAGATAGCACCAAAAGTAGACGTCTTAACTGTCTTTGGCTGCGCTTCTGGGGACCTGGAGAGGAGGAGCATAGTTCTTCTGAGACTGGCCCCTGTCACTGGGGTTACCTCTGTGAAACCCATGCGCTCCGCCTTCTCGCTCTCCCCAATCAGGACTCGGAGGGCCGCATCGGCGGCTTCCTGCTTGCCTTGCTTCTTGCTGTGCGCGCAGACGGCTGGGAACCAGCGGCCCCCGACTTTCGCTTGGTAAATGAACCTTTGGAACGAGAAGCGGGACACAGACAAACCAAGACTTGGACGCTGTGGCAGAAAGGGCTGCGCTGGCTTTCAGTGTGGCCCGTCTCGCAGACAGAGGGACCCGTCCATTCTGACAGATGTTACTAAGGCAACATGATTTTGGCTAGCTCCAGATGTCCCGTGGACGACCGTGAGTGTTTTCTCTACACTGATTCTTTAAAAATGCACACACATTGTATATAGATACATAAAAAGAAGTTAACTTTTAGGGGCTGGGACTGTGGCTCAGCGGTACAGCGCTCGCCTAGCACGGGCGGGACCCGGTTCGATCCTCAGCACCACATTAAAAAATAAAGGCATTGTGTTGTGTCCATCTACACCTAAAAAATAAATATTAAAAAAAAAATACACACACTTTTTTTTTTGCGGGGGGGGTGTGTGTGCTGGGGGTACTGGGGATCGAACCCAGGGCCACGCCACCACTGAGCTACATCCTAGTCTGTTCTACTTTTTATTTTGAGCTAAGCTGCCCAGGCTGGCTTTGAACTTGTGATCCTTTTGCCTCAGCCTCCTGAGTGGATGGGATTATGTGTGCCTTTGTGCTCGACACACTTAAAAAGGAAATTTCACAGTGCTCAAAGGGAACACCAGTGCCATTTGCCACAAATTGAAGGTGGCTATAAAGCCGAATGTGATAAAATCATAAGACTAATTCCAACTAGATACTGTACTATTATCTGCAAAGACTCCAGCCAGGCYTGCCTTTACGAGAAAGGGAGATTAGGGAGTAATAAGAGGGTTTAAAGAACTACTAACACGAAATTTGGACTGTCTTCTTAAGCAGAAATGAGAAGCAAAGATCTCTCTCCCCACCTGAATCACTTACTTAACACTGTCTGATTTTCAAGTACCCAATCCCACTGTCCCCTCCACTCCTGACCACCTCACCAGGGTCAGCCTGGAGAGAGCATGTCCACAAGCACAGCATTAGGCTGGGAGCCAAGCCTTCTTGGGGAGTCATCTGTGGACTTCTGGTGGGCCCAAGGTGAAGAGTCRGGCAGGGACGTGGACCTGGCTGGGCCCTGGGCTCTGATGACAGAGGAGGCACGAGCCAGCAGGCAGCGGCCCCCACGCTTCCTGGGGATTTCYGCCTTCCCAGAGGGAGAGCATGACCGAGCAGAGCAGCCTGGAGACCCACCAGACAAGTGTCAAGCCCCCAGCTTTCGACCAGATCTGAATCCACTGCTTGGAAACAGCTTGGATAACCCCACTGGGCAGCACGGAGGCTGCGGCTGTAGAAGAAACTGGTCTCCATGCTCAAGCACACTGAGAGTCCACTCCTGTTTGGTTGTCCTAAGCAGCTGGTCCCTCCTGGCCGGCGGGCCAAGTTCAGAATGAGAGAGACTGAGGCAYGAAGAGAGGTTGGGGAGTTGGGAAYGAACTGCCAGGGGTTCAGGAGGATCTCATGACTGTTCTGCCTTTGAAAAGAATGTGAACTCGGGCTGGGGCTGGGGCAGTGGTAGAGCACTCGCTGAGCACGCGTGAGGCCCTGGGTTCGAYCCTCAGCACCACATAAAAATAAATAAATAAATAAMGGTAKTGTGTCTGACTACTTCTAAAAAATACGAACTCTTACACATAGTTTTATAGGTGTGACACCTGCATACAYACATGCACACGTGTATATATACATGTATGTACATGTCTATGTGCACGCACACATATGAGAATGACTGAGTTTGTTAATTATGTAATTTGAATCCTTTGGAGTTGTGCTATCCACTAGGGTAGCCACACGAGGCTATTAATCAAAATTAAACATAATAATTCAGTCCCTCGATCAAGCTTGCCACATTTCAGTGCTCAATAACCTCATGTGGCTGGTGGTTAGCCTTTTAGCATGGGTGAYTGTCCTGAGAGGCCTGGCTGTGAAGGAGCGGAGACCCAGGTCCAGGGAAGGTGTCCACAGGTCGGCCGTGTCTCCAGGCTGATGGCAAGGACCACTGATGACGAGGGGAGATGACGGAAGCAGGAAGCCCCAGAACAGACAAGAGGGAGGGCAGGACTCAGGGGAAGGCAGAAGGCGCTTCCCCTGTGCCTAGGGGTAGAGCGAGGCTCGGAGGAGGGAGGGAGGTCAGGGGACAAGACAGGCCTCTCTTACATGACGACCGCGGTTTCCTGAAGTGGGATGTAAGAGGACCAGTTCAGAGYGAGGACCGGGGTGTTGGTGGGACTCAGAGGCAAAGGTCCCAAGTGGTCCTCCCAGAGTGGGACAGGAAATCTGGTAGACAAAAGCTGGGAAAGCAGGCCAACGTGTGGGACAGAAAAAGTGGCCCCTGAGACCTGCAGCGGCCCTCCAGGGCTCCTGTGGTAAAGGCACTGACCTCCAGGCCAGCCCTAGGGGCCATCAGAGGGCCTCTCTCCTCGTCCACACCGGGCTTCCCTCCTGCCCTCTGCTCACCGCTGGCCCCCCCAGTCTCTGTTCCAGCCCTGCTCTCCCACCACAGGTCGGCGAGACAGCCACCTCCAGTGTCCACAGGGCAATGGCCCCAGGACCTCTGCAGAACCGAGATCTGAGGCTGCTCAAGTCCCTGGGCGTCCTCCCAGGTCACTGACCCCAGCTGACACAAGGTAAGCTCTGTGGGAGCAGGTGCCACACTGCCCGGTGCSGGGAGGGTGACAGGAAGTGGAAGTCGGGCTGAGGTTAGTACAGAGACAGACTCGAGTTACATAATCAACAGATTTAAAAACATTCATTCCACACTTGGTTGAACAGATGCGTGCAGAACCCGTGGATCCGGAAAGCCAACTGTACTGTATCCTTTGCCTGGAACCTTCTTCTGGGTTACCCTTAGGGTCTCAGCTCAGGGATTTCTTTGGGGGCCTTCCCGCTCCCTAAATCTAGTCCTACCTCCACAGATCCTCACTGCCCTCTGAACTCCAGCTCCCTGTAACCCCCAGGAGACCYAAGATCTCATACTTCCTTGGGTGACTGCTGGTCACCATTTGGCTCCTATTCTAGCAGAAGGACCTCTGCAGGTATGTGTTGAGGGAAGACCGCAGAGAGACCAGATGTGATCCAGGTGAGAGAACGCTACACCAGAGGTAGGAAGAAGAKCAGGAGACTTGGGACAGAAGGCAGTGAGGGGCACAGAGGAAAAGGTGATCCTTGGGTTTTTGGCTTGAACAGCTGGATAGATATGCACTAAGATGGGAAAGGCTGAGGGAAGGAGGTTAAGAAAGCAAAAATCAAGATCTCTGCTTTGAACATGCCACGTCAGGGACRCCAACCCAAGTCGAAGGGACACGTGAACAGCAAAGTATATTACTGCATGAGATGCTGAGAACACGTGGCTACTACATTAGTGTCTCCTGTCCTATAAACCACCTGCCTTGATTTCCCAGGAGGAGCTGGCAGCAATATCCTGTGTCCCCACGGCACACTGCACGTCCCTCCATACGGCACATTCCAACTCTGTGTTACGGTCACACATCCTGTACACTTGGGGCAGCAATTCTTCACATTCTCAATTTAGTTGATAATAAGTCCTTGTGTTTTGAATGAATGAGCAACAGAGTTTCAGAAAGGATTTCATAGAAGATAAAGAGGAAAAGCCAGGCATGGTAGTGCATGCATGTAATTCCAGTGTCTCAGGAGGCTGAGGCAGGAGGATCACAAGTACAAAGCCAGCCTCAGAAACTTAGGGAGGCCCTGAGCAACTCAGTGAGACCCTGTCTCTAAATAAGAAAATAAGAAAATAATAATAATAATAATAATAATAATAATAATAATGGGCTAGGGATGTGGCTCAGTGGTTGAGGAAAAAAAGAAGAAGAAGGAAAAACACTGAACCTATCACATAAAGGAATTAAAGGCATGAATTTAAAGGAAATGAGTTCTGCTGGGCGTGGTGCTGTACACTATAATTCTAGTGACTCAAGAGGCTGAGGCAGAAGATCACAAGTTTGAGGCCAGCCTCAGCWATTTAGTGAGACCTTGTCTCAAAATAAAAAAATAAACAGTACTGGGGATGTGGCTCAGTGGTCGAGTGCCCCTGGGTTCAACCCCCAGAAGTGGGGTGGGAGGCGCTGGGGGTTTACTCAGACTGAAGGATATGAACCAGTAAAGAGCAGGAGGGAGGCTGATCTTCCCTTCCAGAAGGTTCAACAGTGGGCAATGCATCCCGCCACAAGGGGGCAGTGGAGAGCCTTTGCTGCCCTCCTAGCCTGAGGGCTCTGTTGGGTTATGCTGGTCCAGGGTTCAGGTTTCTTACTATGTTAAAAGCTCTAACTTGCTAAGGAAGAGTAACCATCCAAAAGAAAACTGGATAAGGACAGAAAAGGTATTTCACATAAAAGTAAATGCAAATCACATGTAAACACTAATAGATGAATGTTGTTACTCTAAAGACAAAATGTATAACAAGGTGCCATTTCCATGAGCTTTTCTCCTTGATGTTTTTTTTWAAATATATTTATTTTTCATTGCAGGTGGACACAATACCTTTATTTATTTTTATGTGGTGCTGAGGATCGAACCCAGGGCCTCACGTGTGCAAGGGAGAGCTCTCTCTACTACTGAGCTACAACCTCAGCCCAATGGCTTTTTTTAAATTTGAAAAGTTAAGATACCACACCAGTAAAAATTCCAACCGCTCAGAATATACAATGAAATGCGTCCTTCCCTCCCCAGATGCAGTGCGGTTACCAGCTACCTGACTGTCTTAATCCTTCCAGAAAATACTCTGCGCGTGTACACACACACAAACACACACACACACACACACACACACACTACGTCTCTCCCCTGCCATCCACAGTGCCTTCCCCTCTGCCGCACAGGTTTCAGAGACGGTTTCACACAGACACGCTGTGCTTTACGTGGTTGTTCAGTGCTCTTTAGCAGAGATGCACCGCGGCTGACTTAGCCAGTGTGCAAAGGATGGTGCTAGAGACCATGTCCAGCCTCTTGCTGCTGTGAACAATGCTGCATGAAGACCTCTGCACCAACGCCGTGCACTGTGTGTCTGGGAGTTCCGAGTGGCACCTCGGGCGGGAGGCACGGTTCTCACCTCAGCTGTGATGCACAGGCTGAACTGCACCGCTGTCAAAGCGTCAATTTAATTTACAAAATGAGGTCGTGTACCTTTCTGTTTACTGACGATTCATTGTACTTCTTTTCCTTTTTCTTTCGGTACCAGAGACTGAACCCAGGGGCACTTTACCACTGAGACGTATTCCCGGCCCTTTTTATTTTGAGACAGGGTCTCACTGAGTTGGTTAAGGGCCTCACCAAGTTGCTGAGGCTGGCTTTGAACCTGTGATCCTCCTGCCTCGGCCTCCTGAGCTGCTGGGATTACAGGCTACAGGCGTGCCACCACCTGGCAATTCACTGTATTTCTTTTTCTATGAATGTACAGCTCACATACTTTAGTTTTCTCCTAAGGTTTTCCATGGGGATTTCTGTAGAACCCCTCATGTAYCAAAGAAACCAGCCCTCGGGCTGCTGGCACTGTGGTGTTTTTCTCAGGTGGTCTTTTGACTACGCACCATTTTTTTCTTACTATTAACATYTCTGGGCTTTTTACCTGATGACTCTATGTTTTGTGTCTTTGATTGGAAAGGCTTTGCTGCTTGAAGATTCTAGAAACATCCCTCCTTTCCATCTAGTGATCTGATTTCATTTATTTTACATTTAAACCTTGGATCTGTAGGGTCTGGGAGTCGGGAAGGGGGCAGACAAACAGCTCTGGTTTTGTTTTCAGGATGGAGAGCTGGCAGCCCCACTACCTCCATTTCCCCACTCATTTGGAGCCTTATGTTTACAACATACAAAAACACCATTCATATGGTTCTCAACCTTTTGGGCGCTCCCGTCTGATCCCCRGAAGCACCTTTCTAGCTACGTACAACACAACACTGTTTTAAAATCTGGTAGGGGCTGGGGTTGTAGCTCAGCGGTAGAGCGCTTGCCTGTCKCGGGTGAGGCACCAGGTTCAACCCTCCGAAGCAGGTAAAAAACAAATAAATAAAATAAATAAAGGTTAAATTCTTAAAAAAAAAATCTGGTAGGATCAGTCCTTTTTYCCCTGAATTTCCTATTTTTATGTTTTTGTTTTTCATGTGAAATTCAGAATCAAGTTTTCTACTTCCMAAATAAATTCTCTTGATGTTTTTATTGGGACCATATKAAGTTGAAGATTAATCTGGGGACAGCTGCTATCTTTAAAATACTTGGCCTGGGGTGTAGCTCAGTGGTAGAATATATACCTAGCACATGTGAGGTTCTCAGCTGATCCCCAGACCACAAAAACCCAAAACACAAAAACCTTCACTGTCTAATAACAGATTCTTCCTCCCATTTAATCAAGTCTTCCTTCATATCTTTCATTACCGTTTTATTTAACGTTGTTCCTACATAGTTCCTATTAGGGCTGTGCCTAGGTAGTTTATCTTTTTAAAAAAAATTTTTTTTTTTTTTTTTTCTGTGGTGCTGGGGATTGAACCCAGGGCCTTGTGCGTGCAAGGCAAGCACTCTACCAACTGACCTATACCCCAGCCTGGTAGTTCATCTTTTTAGCTGCTGTTGTAATAGGGTAATTTCTTCCACTGCATTTCCCAATTGCTTATTCCTGCATACAGATAAGCTCTTTTTTAAAATTATTTTATTTGTTTATATACTTATTTTTCATGTGGTGCTGAGGATGGAACCCAGTGCTAGGCCAGCGCTCCTCCACTGAGCCACAGCCCAGCTCTCAGGCAAGCTCTGGACTCTTCCGCATTACACTGCGATTTCCGACTTTTCTCAATTCTCTGCCTATGCATTTCTTTGGTTTTCAGGTAAGTATTCCAGGTACATAATCAAGCCATCTGCAAATAATGATTAACTAACTACCTCTTTCTTCTTTGTATACTTGGTTTTCTTTCTTTGTTTTTGGTACTTAAGTTGCTGAGGCTGGCCTTAAAGTTGTACTGAGTACATGAACAGTACGTGCTTAAAAGTTCTATCAATGCTGGGCAAGGTGGCACACGTCTGTATCCCAAGACTCAGGAGACTGAGACAGGAGGATCTCAGTGCAGCCTCCCGAGTCCCTGGGATTACAGGTGTGCACCACACGCATGGCATGTACACTTATTTCTTTCTCTTGACTGGCATTGGCTAGAATTTCAGAATAATGCCTAATAATGATGACACTGACAACTATGTCTCCCTCCTGACTGTAATGGGAACAGTTCTAGGTTCATCATTAAATAAGCTGCTGGCTTTTGACTTCAAATGTATTTTTATCATGGTAAGGAGGTATTCAATCATTTTAATTTTACTGACAGCTTGTTTTGTTAATCTGAATGGATGTTGAGTTTTTATAGATGCCTTTTCAGAATCTCTGGAGATAATTATGTGGTTTCTCTCCTGTGATCTATTAATATGGTAAATAGTAATAATAAATATCCTAACAGATTAATCTTTGCAATATAGCAAAATACTGTTTTTTTCCATTTTAGAATGGCAAAGATAAGATTTTTTAAAAATGATTTTTGTAGTTGTAGATAGACAGCATGCCTTAGTTTATTTGTTTATTTTTTTTGTGATGCTGAGGATCGAACCCAGTGCCTCACAGGTGCTAGGCAAGTGCTCTGCCCCTGAGCCACATCCCCAGCCCACCAAAGATAACAATTTTGATGATATCATATTAGCCTGGGTGGAGCTGGGGAAAAGCCATTCTTACATATTGTTGGTAGAAACATAAGATGGTGTGATCTCACTGGAGGAAAATCACTCATTTACATAAATTTACATATTAAAATTTTGAATGCTCATAAAAAGGCTATACTATTGTTCATAACAGCAGAATTCTGGAAACAATCCAAGTGTTCTCCAAGAGGAGCTGGTTAACTAAATCACGTGCACTCTAACAATACACTTTGCAGCATTATTGAAAGAATATAGGGATTTATAATGCTATTTTATTGTTGTATAAGATCAAGTTATAGATCAATGCTTATATGAAACCAACAGGGGAGATGCACTTGCCTGTATTTACACAAACACACTCAAGAGACACATATTATAATGCAAAATCATTAAATGTTGATGGGGGTTGTGGATAGGAGATGAGAGCTAGGCCCAAGGGAGATTGAGAATGAACTTCTTATATTTTTCTGAATTTTTAAAAAATTTTTGAGTAGTCTATTACCTACACAAAAATTTTAAACCTTAAAAAAACATATCGCTCATGGCACCAAAATTTCACTCCTAAAAATTTACTACTGATAGGGGCTAGGGTTGTGGCTCAAAGGTAGAGCTCTCGCCTACCATGCGTGAGGCACTGGGTTCGATCCTCAGCCCCACATAAAAATAAAATAAAGATATTGTGTCCACCTATAACTAAAAAATAAATATTAAAAAAAATTACTACTGACAGTTTTGCTAATGAAAGCAAAAGCATACAGTATGAGGAAATTCAACTGGAGTGTTTCTAATAGTGTGACCAAAGCAACCTAAATGTCACTGGAAGTAGGTTAAACAAATTATGCCAAGTTGGGGTGGGGTGTTCCCAAGTACTAGCAACATTTTATTTTCTTAAACTAGGTGGTGGTGCATCAGTATCTATTTTAGAAAAGGTCTGTCATCTCTCTTATTTAATAAGTAATTTTAAAATTGCAAGTATTTAGTCAATTATTAGTCAGCTGTGCAAGAGACCTTGGTAGAGCTGCATATTCTGATTTGTATTTATCTCTGAGACACACTGGCACAAGGTGTTGAACAGAAAGCATTCTCTATGCTTATTTTTGTTTAAAAAAAAGAAAAAAAGAAAGGAAACTGTGCTAATTATGCATAGAAATTTCCAGAAGGAAATTCAAGTTGATAGCATGAGGATCTTAGGAGAGAAGTCTGGGATAGAAATAAGACTTTTCACTATAGACTTATTTGATCAGTTTGAATAATTTTCTATGTGTGTACATATATATACATATATATATATATATATATTCTTTCAGAAATAAAAAAAGTAAAAAAAAATATATATATATATAAGGCTCACTGTCACTGAAGAGTAACTGTATCCTCAAGATGGAAGACTAACTTCATCCAAGAGGCTGTGGAGAGAGGGTTGGCTTGCTCCATCACCTGCCTTCCCTGTCCTTCCCGGCGGCGCACACTCTCTTTCCGGGGACGACACACCACCCCGACCTGATGACGCCCAGCAGGAGCTGGGCGGGGACACTCACTTGGGCTCATGAGGGGGTCCGGACTGGTCCACCAACTTGAACTCCGCAGCAAAGCCATGGGAGCGGGCGTACTCYAACAGGCCGCCCACGGGGTTGGTGTTCAGGTATCTGACGAGCTCACCGATCCTCCTGATCCTGTTGGGCATCCCAGAGTCCAGGTTGTCAAGTGATTCTGGGTTGGCACCTCCAGACTAAAGGAGAAGCAGCCAAACAAAGAGGAGCCGTGAACACTCAAAGAAACGTGGGCCACCCTGACCCGCTCCGTTGCTGGATCGCCCCGTGGTGTTTCAGCAGGAGAAACGCCCACCTGGTCATCAACCGAGTTGGCGGCCTCCTCGTGCAGGGCCTTCATGGCCTCCTCTGCGGCCATCTGCTTGGCCACCTTCTTGCTGGGGGCACTCACGGTAGGGAAGGTCTGCGCTCCCACCGCCACACAGTACTGGAACCTGACGGAGAGGAGGAAGGTCGTGACTGCAGAGACCGGCCCAACTTGCTAACGCTCTCTACTACATGCGATTCCTTGTGCAYGTCACCTTCTCTAGTCACTTCTGCCTGGCACAGCTGCTGCCCCTTACCCACCTGCTGCCCGGCTCTCTCAGCCTGGCTCCCCACTTTCAACATGCAAAACTTTCCCCTCCTCCACAGACCCTCAGAGCTGCCCAGGCCCACAGGCCCTGGACCTTCCTGTCCCACCAATAGTGACCCCCATGCTACCAACCCCTCSTTGCCCTTGGTCCCTCTGAACTCTCATTCCAGCTTCTCTGCTTTCCCAGCAGCAACCAGGTCCTGAAGGCCCCTTCCACATGCAGCAGAAGAAACCGCTCAGCCTGTCTCTGAGAAGTCTCGCGGAGACACCGTCCCGGGACGTACTTGGGGTCGTGGGCAGGGCCTTCTTTGGACAGGAGCCGGAATTCACAGGAGTTGCCCAGTTTGTGCATACACTCCAGCAAGGTAGTGACGGGGCTCTTCCCAGAAAACAGGGACGACGTTGAGGTGGCGGTGGGCTGGGGCTCCGCTGCCTGGAGAAAGTGAGACAAGAAGACAGAACAAAACACGAGAAACTGAGACAAGGCCGGCTGGTCCGCCTCCGCAGAAGGGACGGATGGACGGGAGAGTCTCAGATCCGTCAGTGTTAAGGGTGGCCTTCCAGGGCGGAGCTGCAGGGGACTTCCTGGGCATGGCAGGAGAGAGCAAGTTATCTGCCCAAAGTGGAGACGGAGCACCGTACTGCCTCAGCCTCTTCCAGGTTTGAYGTTCTGCACCTCCAGCTAGGTTCAAGGGGGCAGGAGAGGAGAGCAGCTGGAGGTGGGCAGAGGAGGCAGGAAGCTGTCTTGGGATGAGGGACCAGGGCTTTTAGACCAGGATCGCTTCCAGGGGCCAGTTAAGATGCTACCCCTGAGACCTGAGAGACGAGACCCACCCTGGGAAGGTCCCTACCTCCTCTGACTCCTTTTCTGTGGAATAGCAGGACAAGTCCTCTGGCTTCCCACTGTCCTTGGCTTTGGCCTCCCGAAGTAGGATCGTCATGGCTTTCAGAGCTGCATCCTGCTTGGCCACCTTCTTGCTGCCGGCTTCTGCYGGGGGGAACTCTCGGCCACTGATGACAACCTGGAACTTAAACCTTGGCGGAAAGCAGTCAGACATGAGAAGCCAAGCTGGGCCACCTCTCTGCTCTTCCCGCGTGTCCCACCCACTGAGCAGACTTGGAGGGTAGGCCAGGAACTTCTGTCCCTTTGGAGGCTTGGCCTGTCCCTTCATTTTTTTTTTTTTTTTTTGGTACCAGAGACTGAATCAGGGACACTCAACTACTGAGCCACATCCTCAGCCCTTTTCTGCATTTTATTTAGAGACAGGTCTTGCTGAGTTGGTCAGGGCCTCACTAAGTTGCTGAGGCTGGCTTTGAACTCTCAGTCCCCCTGCCTCGGCTTCCCAAGCCACTGGGATTATAGGTGTGCACCACGRCACCTGGCAGCTTGTCCRTTCTTTTAGGGAACAGAGCAGCCAGTGACTCTGTCCCCAGAAGTCAGTGAAGCATGCACAGCCACCACAGTGGGTGATAGGAACCTGGCTCACAGGAGACCCCCCATGCCTTAAATATAATAAGTTGTGTGCAATAAGCAACGGGCTAAAATCACCATGATAGTCTCGACAGCAACCCAAAAGCCTTCATCCTAAAGCAAAAGAGGTGGACTGGCCTCCTCAGGAAGGTCCTAAAAAATAGGGAAGGCCTGGGGGTGTGGCTCAGTGGCATTAGAGCCTGGGCTCGGTCCCCAGCACTGCAAAAGGAAAGAAAGAAGAAAGAGAGCAAAGGCGTGTCCGTATCAGTCTCCTGCTCTGCACACACTGGCGCTCACCGGGGCCCCACTGGGTGGAGGGGGAAGGGGAGGATGTGGGAGGACGAGGGGCAGGCTGGGGAAGGGGGCAGAGGAGGGCRGGGCAGCCTCCAGGGCTGTCTGTCCCTAAGTTACCCCCAAAGATAATTCACTCTTAAAAAGTGTGTGAAGTCATGCTAGACCTCTCAACTTCCTCCGAGCCTGAGGTGAAGGAATTTCCCTTGTCATAAAGAAAACCAAAAGCATTTGTTACGGGCTGCTAGACCCAGCCTAGGCCTCTTGTAGTCAAGCTTCTATATTCTCCTGGGCTCCTCGCTCAATCTGGGGTCTCATTTAGAAAAGGAGGTCAGATTTCTTATCTCCCAGGTCTTCTGAAGTACTCTACATGGCATCGATGCTCCTGTAGCTCAAGTTCAAAAAACTATTTAACCACAAAACTCCTGGCTGTCCCCCAACTCTGGCGAAGGGGCTGGTGGGGAAAAGGAGGACAGCCACTCAGCCTCTGTCGCAAACACAGACAAAGCCGTCACGGCCCTGCCAGCTTCTGGACAGACACACCCCTCTTCCTAACAGCTCCCCTGTGACGCCAACTTGGGGCCACTAAGACGGTCAGAGGAGGACCAAGGGCCAAAGGGCGATGCTCAGTCTGGAGAGCAGCCGTGTAAACGCCGTCCCACGCCACGAGGACGTTTGGGCCCATGATGGACCATGTAACACAACAGTGGACCCATGAGGTGGCCCATGATGGACCATGTAACACAACAGTGGACCCATGAGGTGGTACTGCCCAGTGACCTGAGCTGTTGTAGGTTTGTGTAAGCACACTCTAGGTTGGTACAGTGACAAAATCACCTAATAGGGCATGGCTCAGGATGTGTCCCTGTCCCTGACATGTGACTATAAGAGTTGGTGGCATGTTCCCCATTCTCTCTGGTTCTGTCCAGCAGCGGCTTGCAGCCACTCGGACTTGAGCCAATGGCTCCAGGTCCTTTCTGGGCCCACCTGTCTCAGTCTGTCCTGGCCAAGAGTGCAAGGAACCTCAGGTGCTTCTCAGCAGTGCCAGCCGCCTCTCTGTGCAGAGGAGGTGTTTAAGTTAGACTACCACCCTCAGCAGGCAGGCGGGCGGGCGGGCGGGCGGGCGGGCAGGCCTGCCTCCCAGTTGAGTGGTGCACCTGGGCTCTCTGCACAACCCTTATCCTTGTGTGGCCCACCCTTGGTGGTCCTGTTCCTGTACCTTGTCCAGGAACCCAACTCGAGGGGGAGGTGGGGAGGGAGTTAAGTCCTGGCCTAGGGCCTCGGGGGCAGGTGAGACCCGGTGCCTGAAAGCTGTGATTTCTAAGGAAGCCTCATTTCAGCCAGGAGTCCACCTCCCCCTTGGCTCGGCCAGGATTCTGGTGGCTCCAGGCCCATCGCCCAGAGAATGGGCCAAAGGAGGATGATTCAGCCAAAGGAGGATGATTCAGCCAAAGGCCAAAAAGGAAGGGGGGGACAGGGCCACCGAAGGGCACCGCTCACAATCGGCTGAGGCTTGTTGGTCCGGCCCTAGGCGCGTCCGGCGGGCTCACCGGGGCTCGTGGGGGGGCCCGCTCTGCTCGATGAGGTGGAACTCGCAGGTCTGGCTGGCGAACTGCGCGTACTCCAGCAGCCCGCTGACGGGGTTCTTCAGCTGGCACTCGGTCAGCTTCTTGTAGGGCGAGCACCGGGGCAAGCCGTGGCTGTAGAAGGAGGGCATCTCCATGATGGCTCGGAACTCCCCCGGGGCCGCGTGGATGCTGTTCAGGTCATCCGGGATGTCATCTGTGGCCCACTGGCCATTTTCAAAGTCCACATACCCTGCTTTTGAGGGGCCATTGTGATAAACAGGGGGCCTCAGTTTCATGAACCCTGGTCTGGGCTCCTGTCTACTTTCTAACCTTATGAGCGGGTCCTGCCCATTCTCCGCCTTTTCTGTGGGCATCGTATTGTTTGGGGCGTTGGATGGGGGCGGGTGATAGGTGGGGAATGCCGTGTTCCTGCTGGTGGCGGGGACAGCACCCTGGGTGGCCGCGGGAGCACTCTGTGTGCTCCTCTTGATCTGCATCCTCTCTCGCTTCTTGTCCGTCAGGTACCAGGTGGGGATGGCCCCTTGCCGGTAGACGTCGCCCTGCTTTTCCATGTCGCACAGCACTGCGTTCACATCTCGGGCTCTGGTGAAGCCGATGTTTTTAGCCAGACTCAGGGCGGAGCAGTTAGTCACGTTGAACAGGTAGTCGCAGATCTTCTCCTTGATCTCAGCCATGTCCAAAGGCTCGGGAGGATCTTCTGAGTCAGATGTGGGGTGACTCTCTTCAGATTCCGAGTTGGGCTCTGGGCTTGGGGCTCCCTGGCTCTGAAGGTCGGGCTGTGCAAGGGTGCCGGGCTGTGCAAGGGTGCCGGGCTGTGCAAGGGTGTCGGGCTGTGCAAGGGTGTCGGGCTGTGCAAGGGTGCCGGGCTGGCTCCGGGCCGGAACGGAGGCCGCAGCGCTCCACAAAGGGGGTGTGCCCTGCTTCCTGTGCAGCTGACCCTTCTTTGCCAGGGAGTACAAAGCTTGATTGACCTCTTTCTTGGGGACCCTGAGCTTCCTGGCCAGCTCCCGCGCTGTGGTGTCCTTCCCTTCCCCGAGCTCCTTTAGGAACTCTAAGATCCTTTCCTCCTGGCCCTGACTGATGCTCAGTCCCTGGAAGCGGGAGGAGAGCCGGTCAGCACCTCTCCACGTCAGGCCCCTGCCACCTGGCAGGGGAAGCTGGGGCACTGCCTGCGGCCCCTGACCTCTGAGAGGCACGCGGCTGCAGACCCCCCAGATCTCAGGCTGCCTGGCTCTAACAGGTGGTCCCGGAAACCTGGGCCAGAGTCCTGGGGGCACTACTGGTGGTGGCAGGGACGGTGCCCACGTTCCAGTCAGGGGCACTTCTGAGAGCCGCCCCTTGAGAAACTCTATTTGCTGGAGCCGGAAGCTATCGGTGCGCGATTCCTGCCACGGCTGCTGCTGTCTGGCCTTGCTGTGCTCATAGCGGTGGCCAGGGCGGGGGCGGTGTCCGTTGAAGAAACAGCCCTGTGGACAGAGGGAGCAGAGGGGTGAACCAGGCTGCAGCGAGGCCGCGGACTCCCCTCCTGACCCTGCCCCGGACGACGCTCCGGCTTCTAACAGGCTGAAAAGGTGACTGTCATGGGCTTATGGCCTAGCTGGGGTGACTTAGCCACCTCTTAAGTACTGCCTGGGGCCACCAATGGTACACAGGGGACAGGAGGCGGAGCACAGGGGCACCCAGCAGGGGTTAGAGTGCCCCAGCCTCTCCAGAGACCTAACTAGTCTCCCTCTCCACAGCGTTTTGGAGAGTGGACAGGAACCTTCCCACCAACGCCAAGAGACCCTCTGCAACCCGAAAACAAATCGCACTTTGTCCTACAACCAAAACCAGAACCCTGAAAAAGGAAGGCGTGAGGGGGCTGGGGATGGACAGGGCTCCCCTCCTTGAGCCAGGCTCCCCACGTGTCAGCCCTGGCCCCCTGCCTGTCACTGCCCTCCCACGAGGCTCACGGTGTGGTTTTAGGGAAGCTGGCACACTGTCCTTGCTCCTCAGCATGGTGCCCAGGCTGGGATTGGGAGGGACACCTGGCACTTCTCCCAAGCACCCAGGCAGGGTCCCCTCCTTACCCTCAGCCAGCCTCCTACCCTCCCAGCTACCTCCCGAGGGTTGCTTCCACGGCCCCCCCTTCTGAGCTCTGCTTGTGAGCACAAGAGACCCCAAATTCTCCTGTCGCCGTWTGTTCACTGCAGTGGAGCAGCCACGGCCCACCCCACAAGGGCCTCCATCTGGGGCCCGTCCTCTCCCTGGTGCCGCRCACTGAGTGTGCAGCAGGCAGGAGGTGCTCATGGGGCTGGGGGTGGCAGGAGGCACTCTGCTTCCTTGGCCCAGGGCTGCAGGCTTGGGAGGGGCTGCACCTCGTGTTATGTCCCCTCCTCTGGTCCTCCTCAAGGCTCCAGGACAGCTGCGCCCCTTTCTTCAACAGCTATGCTTCCTACTCCCTACAAGTAGGGGACGTTGGCATTCTTGCCGGTGGCTCTCATGGGTTGTAGGGTTCCTTGATCTCTGACAGTGGCCTCCCGCTCCTCTTTCAGCCACGTCTGGCTTATCCAGCTGCCCCTCTGATGTCACCATTAATGCCAACCCAGGCCACGGCTGACCCCTCAAACCCTGAAACTCTTCTCCAGGGGCTGGGATCTGAGAGCTGTGCCATCACAGCACAAGCAGCCACTCACAGCACGTCAACGTTTGTGGACGGTTTCTTTACCGGGATCTCCATTCCCCAAAACAGGGGTCAGCTGTGGGCTGCGCTGGCCGGCCCCTGTTCCTTTCTGGGGGCAGCTTCCCCACGTCTCTGAAGGCTCCCTCACTCTGCCTGATCTGTGGTCAGTTGGCCTCTCTACCCAGCACCCACTGGGCGCTGTCTCTTCACCCAAGCTTCCGTGGAGCTGAAGGACAATGACTGCACTAACAGGTCCCTACGTCCTGCTCTTGAGCYGTGGCTGGGTCTCCACTGTGGGTCACCCAGTGCCACAAACTGCACGGGCTCACCGCAGATGAAGCTGCTTCTTTAGAAAACTCTCCTCCCAGGATCTGGTGACCCAGCATCAGACATCATCTCTGTCCCCTTCTCCTGCCCTTTCTATACCCTCAGTCCCCCTGGCCTGTCTAAGGAGTTTCCTTTATATTTTGTCCACTAGGTTGACGTCACCCACTCCGCCAACCCAAGCCAGCCCCCTGAAGCAACTCGCGTCTAGCCAGCTGCCACTTCGACCAACTACCTAGATATCGTGCACTCAAGTAACCCGCCATTACCTCAAATGCCACAGATTCTGGACCAAATTTATCATTTCCCTCAAAGCCACCCTCCTCTCCCGTTGTTACTRTTCACGGCATCCTCCTCGCAGGTCACTAAGGCCAGGGCCCTGAGTCTCCTTCCCTGGCTGTCTGCCCTCCGTCCTCACGGCCCCCTAAGCCGGGGGCTGCCCTGCCCTGTCTGGCCCACCACCTCTGGAGGAAACGTGTCCCATTCGGGTTGCAGCCCCTGGTCACCGCCTCTTACTCAGACTACACAGAAGCCTCAAGTCCTTCTGCTCCTCTGCCGCCACACCAGCGCGGACCTCCACCCTCCACGGCCACCTGCCAYGGCCACCTGCCACAGCCACCTGCCACGACTGGCCCTTTCCTCACAAGTCTCCTAAAGGCCACTTTCTTCAGGAGGCTCCGGACTCCCACCTCCCTCAGCCCCCAGTCCCCTCCTGGAACTCCACCCAGTCAGCACCTGCTGTGCCTCTGGCTTCATCTTGGCTTTAGATTGATTAATCCTGGCAGAGATACAGTGCACCTGAAAGGCCATTAACAAGGTCAGGCGCCAGAAATCCCACCTCCACTCCCACACAGTGCCCATGGGGGCTGTGGCTGACTCCCCGGGGAACTCTTGGGGGACAAGGACTAGGCTACGGTCACCTTTGTCTCCCCAGCACCTGGCACAAAATTAAAACTACCAAGCAACACACATGAACGCGTGAACAAGGCACCCAGGCAATGGCACCCCCTTCCTCACTCCTCTTTTTTGGGGGTGGGGGATTCACTGAGCCCAGGGATGCTTTACCACTGATATACATCCCTAGTCCTTTTTTAAAAAATTTGAGACAGGTCCTATTTATTTATTTACTTATTTGTAAAGGGACCTTTATTTTCTTTATGTCTATGCGGTGCTGAGAATGGTGCTGAGAATCAAACCCAGGGCCCCCCACTGCTACGCAAATGCTCTTCCACTGAGCAGCAACCCCAGCCCTCGCTCCTCTATTGTATCTCTGTCCCCCCCATATTGCTAGGGGCAGAGAGCAATATGGACACAGTGAGCGCCCCAATCGCAGAGCTGGATTATGGGAATTTTTAGGGGTTTTCTGATCAGCTCTTTGAGTACCTTTCAGAAAAGAAACCTTGTTCTGAACTGGCTGAAGTCAGTTTCTACCAGTCAAACTGCTACTCTCAACCAAAATCTGGCAAATATTTGAGTGCCCACCTAAAAAAAAAAAAAAGGGTGGAATAAATGATGAAACACTCATGCTGTGGAACAGTATTCACACAGGGTTTAAAAATATGGCCAGGGGGGTGGCACACACCTGTAATTCCAGTGACTCAAGAGCCTGAGGCATGAGGATTACAAGTTTGAGGCCAGCCTCAGCAACTTAGTGACACCCTGTATTAAAAAAAAAAAAAAAAAGGACTGGGGCTCAGTAGTAAACTGCTCCTGGGTTCAATCCCCAGTGTGTGTGTGTGTGTTTGTATGTGTGTGTGTGTGTGTGTGTGTGTGTGTGTGTGTGTGTCTTTTAGATCTGTATTCACCTAGAGAAAATTTAGGAATATATTGACTAAAACAACATCATAAAAGCAAGTTGCAGAATACATATACATTATTTCTTCTCTTTTTTTATAAATAAGGAAAAACTCACATGTATTCATGTACGTATATAAATGTACATGTGCATAAGCTAGAATGAATTCAGAGAAAAAAAAATGATACATTAATTTTTTAACAGTTACTTTGGGGAAGTTGTGTTAGAGGGGGAGGGGGGGTCATTGTCTTCTTACCCCTTTCAGCACCCTAAAAACCAAGTCCCACTTTAGAACAGCCATGCAGATAACCACCAATGGTGTGGGAGCCACAGGTAGGAAACCTGCCCATGGTGGTCCTTCCTAAACCCCCACCCCACTTCTCTCCCACTTCATGTCTCTTTACTGAGCAAACTGCATAACAAGTCATCTGACATTCACTGCCTCCTGGATTTCATTTTAACTTGGCCTCTTAGAATCAAGAGACTACCTTTACCCCCCACCTTTACCACATGGCTCCACAGCGCCACACTCTGGTATGTCTGAAGAAATACTTCTTCAAGTCAGGTCTCCCTAATCCTTTAAAGAAGGGCCTTATTTATTTTTTGGTGCTGGGGCTTGAACCCAGGGCCCTGCACATGCTAGGCTAATGCTCTTATCACTGAGATCATCCCCAGCCCTCAAGAAGAGATTTAAAAATATACATGCATACATTAATAATATGTATACATAACAACTTTTTAAAAATGGAGGCATAATTTGCATACAGTAAAATTTATACTTTTTAGTGTACAATTCTATGAATTTTAACAACTACCAGTACAATCCAGACACAGAACACTTCAAAGCTGGGAGCAGCGGCACTTGTACCTGTAGTCCCAACTATTCCGGGGGTTACAGCAAAAGGACTGGAAGTTCAAGACCAGCCTGGGCAATTTACAGAGACCCTGACTCAAAATAAAATTTAAAAGGCTGGGGATGCAGCTCAGTGAGACAGTTGCTTGTSTACCACGTGTAAGGTCCTGGGTTCACTCCTCAGTTTCGACAAAAATAAGTAAAAAAATAAATAAAAATATAGCTGGACATAGAGCACTTCTACTCCCTCCAAGTGTCCTCAAGCTGCTCTGCTGTCAACCTCTTCCCCCGGCACGGATCTGTTTTTTGTTCCTGTAGCCTCGTTTTTCCAGAATGCCAGGGACCTGGACAGAGAGAGGCCACCTCTGTGTACTGAGATCGTGACGACGTCCGAGCGGCAGGAATGTGTGATTCCTCACTAAACTGCTGAACCGCACCGCACTGCCGGGACCCACGGGCTTCCCATCAACCTGTGGCAGGACGCGGGAGTTCTTCCCGTTTCCAGCTGCGGTGCACAAGCGGCCACAGACTTCCCCGACAGGTCCTCAAGGGCCACTTTTAGTCTCGCTAAGGCCTCCTCTGGGGGTGCCAGGGGTGCGGGGAGGAGGGCTGCTAGAAGTCGGGAAAGTCGTTCGAGTGCGGCTGGGGGCAGCGGCGGAGCCCTGGCGGAGAGCGGCCCGGGGCTGGGTGCTGCTGCTCGGGTGCCCTTCTCCCGGATCCCGCCGCCGGGGCCGCACCGGGAAGGGACGTGCGCCCGGCTCGGCCACGGAAACCGGCTCCCGCCGCCACGCCGCACCCCGCGGACGGCTTACCTGCCAAGGATCCATGGCGCCCCTCGGGCATCGCCCCGCCTGCGCGCCCGCCCGCACCGAGGCCCCGGGACGCGAACCCCGCGCCAGTGCGCCGGGCGCAAGATGGCTCCGGGTCAACTTCACTTTCGTTTCTTCGGAAGGACGGCCCCCTCCGAGGGCTGGGCGGGGTAGGGCTCGGGCAGCCTAGCGACCGCGTCGGGCTCTAGCGCCTTCCCGGCCTCTGACCGGAGGTGGCCTTTCTTTAGGAAGTCGGGGAACCTGCCGCGCCCCTGACCCTCCCGGGGCCTCCGAGGAACCTGCGAGGCTGGGGAAGCGGCCTGAACTGGACTCCGTGGGTCTCTGGGGGGGGGGTCCCTCCAAGCGACTGACGCCCCACTGTGGGCTCTCTGTCCATGTCCCCTCCGCATCGCGAGCTGCAATCAGCGGGCACCAGCCAGGYGACTTCGCAAGATAAATCAAGGTAACGGCAAAGGGACGATCTGGGACCCACRCCGGCGACCCGCCCCTTCGCAGGCCGGTGAGTACCTGAGTCAGCTCTGGGGCGGACACTGGCCACGCGCAGGGGTTGAAGCSGGCTGACTGTGGCCACGGGCCAGCCGCTGTACGGGGTCTGGTTCCGAGAGCTCACACCACTACCTTGTTATCTAGAAGGAAAACACCTAGGATTCCACGGTCAGGTTCCCTACTGCTTGCCCTGGCATCTAACCCTAGGAGAAGACCCACAGATCCGCTCCGGGGCTCAGCAGCTCCTTCYCCCCACTCCGGGAGAAGTGCCTTTATCTTTTTTAAAAAATATTGTTTTGTTTATTTGTTTGTTTGTTTATTTGTTTATTGGTACCAGGAATTGAACCCAGAGATGCTTAACTGATGAGATATATTCCCAGCCCCAGAAATTCCCTTTTCTGTGTTTGATTTTTTTTTCCCCACCGCTTGAGATTTATGTCCCTTCCAGCTGATGCCCTGTCGCCACTGTCCTCCCGTTCATCCGACCTGTCACTCACACTAAATTTCATTCTCTTGTAGGCAGTGATCTTTCTTCCTTCTGTGTCTTTGCACATTCTGTTCCTTGACCTAGAATACACTTCTTCTGTTGAAATAGTTTTTCAAAATCAGCTTCAAATATTGCAGGAGAGAGCTTCCCTCACTCCAGGAGGGGGATGGGTGAGGCAGCGGGTTCAATTCTTGGTTCCTGGTTCTGTGCTTGCCCCTTATTCAGCATTTACCCCTTACAGAGCACTTGTTCCTCTGAAAATCCTTCAGTCATTTAACATCACTTCACTAGGCACCTAATGTGTGCCAGTGTGTGAAGCACAAATAAGAGYCCCTTCCTGCAGCTGTCAGTCAGTGGCAGGGGTGGGTGGTGCCGGGAGGATGGATGCCTCAACAGCCATCCCAATGTTAGGCATTACTTGTTAATATAGTCTTCTGGGGGCAGAGAACATGTTTATACACCCCTATATTGCTGGTTAGTTGAAATGAATGAGAGAGCACTCAGCAGGTAAAATAATGGGCAAGAACACTGGGTAACTTCACAGGATGACATTTAAAGTATCAATAACTATATGAAAAGATACTGAATCTCATTACATCAGGGAAATGCTGGGTAAAGCTGCAGTGATTACTTCCCATCCACTCAGTAGGCACCATTAACCACTGGATCAGACCAGGTAGGAGCAAGGAAAAAGAGCAGCTTGTCAACTCAGGAAGCCAGTTTGCTTTCACCTAGGAAAGATGTGAACATACAYACACGCTCCACAATTCAGCCACTCCACCCTACAGGAGGACACACATACAAGAAGTCCATAGATGCATTATTTGTAAAAGCCCCCAAACTTCTGGAAACAACTCAAATGTCCATCAAAGTAAAATGGATAAATAAATGGTGGTATATGCCTATGATGGAATATTGTATAGCAACACAAGAGAAATACTACAACTGCAAACAACAAGGTGGGTAATTATCTAAAGGAAATTGAGAGGAGCCATATACACATTATATATKATTTCATTTATGTAAAATCCCCAATCAGGCAAAACTAAACTATGACACGCCCTGCATAAAGACAGGATGGTTTACCTTTAAGGAGGAAACAGGGGTTTTGACTGGGAAGGAATATTCTGGGTGCTGGGGATGTTCTAGTTCTTGAACGGGTGGTAGCTAGATAAGTTTGCTTTCCAATAATTCATTAAGTTAAACATTTATATTTTATTCACATTTGTGTGTGTACATGAGAGTATTTCACAATTTTAAAAGGTTAAAAAAGAACAAATCTTCCTGCAGCGACTCCAGCCCATTTCCCCGTGTTCTTTTCTCCACTGAAGCAACATGAGTCAGGTCTTACCTCGCTTCTTTGTCTTCTGGATAAATGATCTCAAAGTCTTTACCCTTCTTCAGGAATRATCCAAAGCGCTTCGGCTGCTTCCCATCCCTTTTAGTCTAACATASTATAGAGCGCTGAAGCTGAAAGGAGAAATGTCTTTTCTAAAGATGGTCAGTTTGTGCCTGGAAAGAACTGCTGTTGTCATTTAATCTTAGCAGCTCAGGTGACTGCCAAGAGTCTTGTTCATCTCCTCCTCCTCCTCAGTAATTGTTTTAATTCCCCCGGGGCTGGGAGGTGGTGACCGGAATCTTTGTGCTGTTCTAATGTAGAGAGTTGGAGCTGGAGGAGTTGGGTGAGGCTCTTTTAAAAATTAACCAAAAGTGGGCTGGGGCTGGGGCTCAGAGCGGTAGAGCRGCTCCCTCCCCTAGCACGGGCGGGGCCCGGGGTTCCATCCTCAGCATTACATAGAAATAAGTAAATAAAATAAAGGTATTGTGTCCAACTACAACTAAAATATATATATATAAAAACCCAAGGGCTGGGGATGTGGCTCAGCGGTAGCGCGCTCGCCTGGCATGCGTGYGGCCCGGGTTTGATCCTCAGCACCACATACCAACAAAGATGTTGTGTCCGCCGARAACTAAAAAATAAATATTAAAAAAAAGTTTGAAAAAATAAAATAAAAAAATAAAAAAACCCAAAAGTAATATCTGATTATTGCATAAATTTTCAGAGAATATAGACAAGTCTTTATCTTTAATCTTCCATTTCTAACTCTTTGGTGTCCACCCTTCCAGGGTTTTCCCTGTACATGAAGATACCAGGCACAACAGGTGACTGGTCCTCTCCCAAGGTGTCGAACCTCCCCAGGGGCTGTGAAGTGACCCAAACGCAAGGCCTCTAGTACCTACCACTTAGGACTGCTTATCAACGATTGCCTAAATGATTGAGAGTTACATCTCTATAAACAACCTGTCTCCAGAGGCCCCTTACTCTGCAGCCCTGCAGGTGCAACTCCACGTGGGCCTCCAGGAGGCTGGACGCCCCCCATCAGGAGGAGGCTACTTCATCCATCGTCATTGCTTGCTGTTTCGATGATAGATAATGGGCTGGTTTTGTAATTATCAATCTGGTTTGTTGTGGGCTTTTCTGTTTAACCTCACTGCGTGCAGGGACGCATATTTACAACAACAGCTTTGAGTCTGTCATCTCCTATAACCAGGCTCTAGTACACACATGGCTACATCCAGCTGGATCATTCATCTCCAAAGAGTGAAAAGTCTGCAAATTCCCACAACAGGTACTTACAGTCTTGCCGGTTGTGCTCCCTAGACAACTTGTAACATATWATCAGAGGAAGTAATAAAGTGCTGAGTTATTTTAAGTCCTAGGGCATTATTTTTAAAGAGGATATGTACATGAATAGTTTTCTAAGAGGTAGAACAAAAACAGAAGTCTAAGAGCAGTGCACAGAACTGGTTGGCACAAATTACTGGCTGCTGCTGCTGCTTCTTTTTTTTTTTTTGGTACAGGGATTGGACCCAGGGACACACTACCACTGAGCTACACCCCATCCCCTTTTTATTTTTTATTTGAGACCAATTCTCTTGATAAATGTTCCAGGCTGGCCTTGAACTTGTGATCCTCCTGCCTCACTCAGCCTTCCTAAGGCAGGACTGGGATCCCAAGTGGGGGCCACCACACCAGCTGTTTCTCTTCACTGTTGACCACTCTACCCTGGCAACATTAATCTTCAGAATTCACGGGGTCTCCCATGTTATCCACTTGCTTTGATAACCTATAGGGGTTTCAGGAGACAGAACAGTGAGCTGCCCAATGGCTAGAGGTGTTCCACAGCTATATTTATATTATATACTATTGATGTTGGTGACCAGAACTGGCTTTTGAAGCTCCAAGAAATTAAGAAAAAGTTAGCCCCCAAAGAAACAGAGGTCTCCAAAAGGGTTAAGTGCTCAGGCCCCAAGTTAACCAATAAATGAAAGAAAAGGAGTGGTATTTACCTAGTGTCTGTAAGGGCTGGGCATTGCGGTTAGTAGATGCTGTTATAAATAAAGCTACAGAATCAGTAATAATGTCAAAACATGGCTACCAGGCCTCTGTAGAATGTTCTACATGTCTGTATAACCACTTAATGTACATTTAGACTCATAACCACCCACAAGGTGACCTCTAGGCAGCCTGTGATTTTATGCATTAAATCCGGACACTTRAGCTGCCTGTCCTCTGCTAGCTCAGTCTTTGAGTGCAGCCTGCCTGAGACTGGCTTAGCTCCTGGCCTGCTCTGAGATCCCACCAGGTTGGGACCCAAAGAGTAGACTCTCACTCTTTCTTCCTCCTCTTCCCAGCCTATGAGTGGAGAGGCTTAGTCCCAGTTGCAAGGACAATGTCTCAATCACCACAGCTCATAGAAAGCAACTTGTGCAGGCTTGAAGGCAGCCTGGGCCAGAGTGCTRCAGCTGTTTTCAGGAGAAGCATTTCGAGGCTGATTTCCTAAGAGCCAATCTGCAGAAAGCCAGTTTGTCAAATGCCCAATTCATAGAGTTGGTAGAGTTGTAAATTGAACGACCAATTTATAAAACAACCAATTACTTTTTCCTCCTTGGTCTTAACTGACCAGTGTTCATCCTGTCTTTACAATAGAATTTGGAAGAAAGGTACCTTGCTTTCTGTCTTCTGCCCTGGAGCTACAACTGAGGAGAAACCGGAAGAGCGAGGGGCTGAGATCCAGCAGCTTTTGTAGAACTTTCCTCAGAGTGACTTT